TCCTCCAGTTCTCATCCCTTTACATCCTTCCCACCATAACCTGCTCCTCAGCTACTCATTCAAAACCAGACCTCAGGAACTAAGAACAGCTCGTATAAAGCTTTTCATGAGCCAGGCTTACCCTGGATATCAAGCCTAAAATCTCCCTGCTCCACAAAACACAACTATTGAACTCCTGCTGATTGCCAAGCACATTCATATCTAGTCACATCCTTAAACCACCCCCCACTGTGCCTCAGTTCCCTCATCTGTAAAATAGGAATAATGAGTTAAATTTTTAAAGAGTTTAAGCTCTATTTAAGCATTCATTCATTTAAATCGACTTTAAAATCTGGCTAGGCATGGTGGTACATGTCTGTAATCCCAGCTACTCAGGAGGCTGGGGTGGGATGGCAAGTTCAAGGCCAGCTTGGGCAACTTAGTAAGGCCTTGTCTTAAAATAAAATTTAAAAAGGGACTGGAGGTATAGCTGAGTAGCCAAATGCTTGTCTACCATGTTCAAGGCCCTGGGTTCAAATCCTAATAGCAAGCACACAACATACAAAAATCTTTATGAAACTTTGCAGGGTAAGGATTACCAGTTCCATCACTGTTTGGTATTAGGGTTTAGAAAGAATTGCTTTTCAAGTTTTATTTCTTCAAGAAGCATTTATTGAGCACCTATGTGCCAGGCCCAATATTCGATACTCCAAGCACATTAGCCCATTTGATTCTCACAACTCTGTGAGGACTGTATGTACCCCAAATATTTCCAAAACACCTGCTTAGAGGCAGTACCACCCTGGTTTCACAGTCCTGGCTGGTTATTGTTTCTCTCCATCACCAGGAGAGCAGAGATCTTTGTTACATTCAGATGGTTTAGACTAAGTACTCAACAAATAGCTGTTGAGAGAAGAAATAAAAATATCCCCAGTTTTCAACTGTGGGCAGCAAAAGTTCAGAGAAGTGATTTGCTCAAGATCACACAGCTGCTCAGCATCACAGATGAGATTTGAACCTACTGTGTGATCAGCTCATAGTTCTTCCATGGTGCTAATTCTGCCGCATGGAGCCCCACTGCAGAAAAGAAAAAGAGATCTGAGCCTAGGGGGCTGACTTGGGGCTGTGGGTTGGACATGGCTGCAATAGCCGGTAGACTCCTTCACGGAGCGTCCTGGCTTCCTCCCGTGTCCTACTGGCCCACCTTTCGTTCCTTGGGCAGGTGGTCATGCTGGTCAGGGGAGCAGCACTCCTTCCTCAGGTCCTTCATTGAGAACGGGTCCCAGCTGAGCTCCCCCAAGTCCAGAGGCAGAAGCTGCTGCACTCAGCCTCCAGGGCCTCCTGGCTGCTCATAGGTTCACACGGGAGCTCAAGATAAGCGAGCCAGGACTCTCAGTGGAGAAGGGGCAGAGGGTTCTTCAGAGCAAGTCCAACCCCATCTTCCTGCTCATTTTCTGGCCATGCAGAGGACCAGAGAGTTCAGAAAGAAGACAGAACCCTATGTTCACTGAGGGTCAGCTGTGTACCAGAAGAGTGTCAGACCTTGTATATTCACTATAACAGCATTTGCAGCCCCCCAGTTGACAGTGGACACCCCCAGAGTCAAGGCCCTCAAGACCCTAGCAGAAACCCTGCACAAAAGCATGTATTCAGGATACCTGAATGAATGAGTTATTTAGTCTCAGAATAATCAGGGAGGTGGGAATTATTACACCATTGAGGAAACTGAGGCTTGGGCATGGAGGGAATTGACAATGACTTCATATGCTGCTGGGAACTGGCCTCTGGACCCCAGGGACCTTACCAGAGCCCACCTAGGGTGGAGGGTGGAGCAGATGCCAGATTGCAGCAGGGTGAGGAGCAGGAGGAGGTGAGGAAGTAGGTACTGCAAGAGATGGAGGGGTGAGGGGAGAGAAAGGGAAAGAGAGAAAGGGGGTGGAGAGCAGAGTGAGTGCTTTCTCCACTGGAATAAAGGCTTTGTTTTGCTGCATTACCACTGGGCACCGGTGGCTCACACCTGTAATACTAGCTACTTGGGAGGCTGAGATTGGGAAAATTGCAATTTGAGGGCAGTCTAGGCAAATAGTTCAAAACCCCATCTCCAAAATAACCAGAGTAAAATGTACTGGAGGTGTGGCTCAAGTGGTAGAGTGCCTGCTTTTCAAGCATAAAGCCCCAAGTTCAAACCCTGGTTCCCCCAGAGAGAGAGAGAGAGAGAGAGAGAGAGAGAGAGAGAGAGAGAGTGAGGTAGTGGACACTCGATATGCCATCCAAATTGTCTTGTCCACCTGAGGCACCTGCAGGTTTTTTTGTGCATTGTTGGCTTCCTGTGTCTCTCTGCCCAAGGGCTTCTCTGGCTGCCAGACACTGAACCCACCTAGTGGAGGCCAGAAGTGCCAGGGGTTCATGCCCTCAGCCAGTGAGGGCAACAGCAGGGCTGTTGGTAGATGAATGCCCCAGCTCCCTCATTCCTTGATGGGTTAATTCTGAGCTAGGCACAGCCTGTGGCCTCTTGGCAGGACCCTTTGTTTTTCCTTCACACCCATGGTGAGGGTTTCCCTCACCATGTTTCCCTGAATCACCTCCCAGGTAAATTTCTTGCACCCAGATCCTTGCTGAGTCAGCTTTGGGGCAAACCCAGCCTCAAACAATGTCATTTTAAAACATAGTGCTCAGGAGATGCTTGGCAAATGTTAACTTCGATGCACATTTTCCTTCTATCAGAATCGGAAGTCTTTTAGAATACAGTTGCAGCCCTGGGTGAACCACAGCTGGCCTGTCAGCATCATCCAGGGGCAGGTATGGGCTAGTAGCCTGGGGGTGCAGTGAATGGGACTGGATCAGGGTCAAGGGCAACAAGGCGCTCCTTGTAGACTGAGCCACACAGCAGCTGGATTAATCTCTGTCAAGCACAGATCACTACAACTTCTAGAGAGATCTTTCCTTGTGCTCCAGGCTCTGCATCCATTTTCCATCCCAGTGTTCTCAGCCATATGCTCCAGCTCAGGGAGCACAATGTTTTACCAAACAGGCTTCAAGTCCAAATTCTTTTTGCTACAAACACCTGCCACTCTCTCCTTCCTCTCCTCCTTTGGGTTCTCCTGTGGTCAACCAGGCCCTAGGTGAAGTTCCCTTGTGTCCGTGCAGAGGAACTGATAGAGACCTACCTGTCCTCTAAGCTGGCTGGTGTGGACTACCATACTGCCCAGTGTGCCCACCTGGCCATTGTTCTGAGCAATGAGAGTCAGGATCTGGTCAAGACTGTCACCCTCCCCGGTACAAGCTAGTGTGCTCTGTCAGCAATGGGAGCAATGGGCAGGATGATGTGGTACTCAGCCAGAGCCCGTGGGACCCACACGCAGACAGCTTTGCTGCCTCCCACTATGTGAACCCACATTCTTCCACGTGGCACTGGTTCATGCCATCTACTTAGAATGAGTCCTGTTGGATGAGGGGCTTGGGACCATTGTGGGGCCCCGCACTGAGGCTTGGTGTGGAAACTCAGTAGCTGGCCAGCCAGTTAGTGCCCACATGGGTAAGACTGGCAGTGTCCATGACTCCTAGCCAATTAAAGAAGCAAAGGAATAAGGTGCTTGTCCCCCTGACCCCTCCGCAGGCCAAATGGGACCACACATACTGCAGAGCTCCTCATGTCAGCCATGTGCTGCTCCCAGTTGGATGTACAGATCAGAAGCTCTAAGCAACAGCTATCTATGTCTTTGATTAATTAAAAATGGGAGATAAATTAATAATGACTTAATTCATGCAATTTGGGATCAAAATCTTCCAGAATACGGGAAAAATAATAAAAAGGGGAGTGTTTTTTCCTTTCCTTGAGACAGAGTCTTGCTATGTTGCTCAGGCTGGCCTGGAGTTCCTAGACTCAAGCAATCATCCCACCTTAGCCCCTAGGTAGCTGGGACTGGTTCATGTCACCTTACCAGGGTGGGAATCATCTGTGAACTGAGCACTGCTGGGGGGAGGGTGAGCACTAGGGAAAGGAGAGGACAGAAGAAGGGACTGGCTCTCACACCTACTCCATTCCAGGTGTTGTGCTTGGGTAATTTCCCCTGTGGTCACCAGGATGACAGAGAGATGACCTGAGGACAGTGCTGCCAAACCCATTTCATAGAAGAGCAAATTGAGGCTCAGAGAGGATGAGTTACTTGCTGTGGGTCAAAGAGTCAGTAAGGGACTTGAACTTGTCTGCCTTATTTAAAAAGGGAAAACAACCCCCACAAAAAATGGAGGGGAACAAAGACCTTACCACTGTGGCATGTGGTAAGTCATTCTGTTTGAGCTTATGAGGAAAAGAAGAGGGACAAGCCAAGGGAACAGCTGCTCAGGCGCTGAGTGCTAGGAATGACTTACTCCCTTTACTGCTGGGTCTCCGCACCTAGAAGTGGGCCTGGTCCCTGGCGCACAGTAGGAGCTCAGGGAGTGACAGAAGAGCTTGGAGGTGTAAAGAGTGGAGCGCATAGTGAGGTGGGAGAGAGGAAGTGGATGTTTTGAGCCCCTCGTTTCTGAAGCGCATTGACCAGCTATGTTTGATAATTTTAAAACTTTAATTATAGTACTATTTCAAACAGCAAAAACAGACAACATAGCAGACATCAGGGAACCCATCAACAAGATTTACTGTAAGTTCATGTTTTGTAATGTTCATTTGAAATATTTTTATAATACAAGTGCAGATCTGGCTAAGTGCCCCTCTTTCCCATCCCATTCCCTCTGCCTATCACCGGAGATCATTCCTATGCTTGCAGGTGGTTTATCTTCCCTCAGCAGTTAGCATCATCTTGGGGTTTTATCATTTCCAAGCACATTATCTGGCCATATCTGCCCTTTTTACAATGTGTGCTTCCCTCCATTATGATTACTTTAGGATTTAGTCCCTGTTGATACATGCAGATCTGGTGTTCCACTGGATGAATAAGAACTGTTTGTTGGGGCTGGGGGCATAGCTCAGCAGAGACTGTGCTTAACATGCATGAAGCTCTGGGGCCATCCCCAGCACCCAAATAACAAAGAAGAACCACTCGTTTCTCTATTCTCTTTTTCATGGACATATAAAGAGATTTAATCTTCGCTATTTCAAACAGGGCAGCAGCAGAAATCTTGACATACATCTCCAGGTATACTCATGTGTCACACATAATCTTTACAACAATTACAACATGTTGCAATTTGTGTCATATGCATGATCTTGGAGAACTGCCTGATGTCTTGGAAGCTTAGTCTTTTCATCTGTAGACTGGGGTCACAAAGTGACATGCCAATTCCAGGCTTCACTGCAGGCCTTTTGCATCCTGTAAAGTGCTCCATGGGTATTGCTTGTTACCTCTCAGGTGTTTGACCTTCAGGATGTGCTGGGCATCCTGCATATTGGGATGTAGTAAATGGGTCCTGCCAGCCCTTGTTGCACCCACGGTCTGATGGGGGAGGCAGCAAAAGAACAGAGTCTCTGCACACTGATCTAGCCTGGAGTGGCAAAGGTGGTGGGGCTTCCCAAGGAAGTGACACTGCTCTAAGTTGGAAGATGAGGAGGCAAAAGACGGCACATGGGAGGTCAGAAGGCAGAGGGAGCAGCAAATGAGAAGGGTGTAACTGTTGCCAGAAAATACACTTGGTATGTGAGAGGTAGGCACAAGGGACAGCAACATATAGGTCTTCAGAGGTAAGCAGAGCTGAGATGTATACCCTGAGGGCAACAAGAGCCATGGAAGGCTTTCAGGTGGAATGGTGACAGGCCTGGGTTTGCATGTTAGGAAAATCAGTGTGGCCACAGAGTGGAGTAGAGCATAGAGGCAGAGACTGGGCCTGGGAAACCAATGGGGGGAATGAGGGAGGGTGAGAGCTGAATAAAGCAGTCATGGCTTATGCCACCAAGATCTATCCCCTAGTCCCTTTGGTAGCTATTGTCTTCCTTGAGCTCAGAACCAAAGCCTGCCTAGCAAAAGGAATCGTGGACACTATTCACCTCCTCATGCCTTTGGGTCGTGCCAGCTAATGAGTCTCCCTTTTTCCATGGTGACATCAGCCCGGAAGCACATCCCCCATGGCCCTACATTGGGCTCCTTATTGGGAGAGATGAGAGGGACTGGTCAGGTGACAGGAACCCTGTCCCAATCCCAAGAGGGCTGTCCTCATATGTCCTCACAAGTTCTCTTCTGGGGCTCAGTTACACCGTGAGGCACAGCACCAGCCACAAGCTCTCAAGTGTCTGGGTGACAGGAGCCCTTTTGGCATCATGGCACTGAGGGCACGACTGGATCCTCAGCAATGTCCCATGATAAGTGATCCCAACAGCAGCTGGATGGCTGCTACACAGAGTGTAGGGAAAGGGAGGGCAACCCCTTCAGCTGCTGGTTGTCTACCTGTTGGTTACTTATGGGTGGCATTGTCTAAACATCAAGTAATCGTACAGAGAGACATAAGAACTGCTCTAGACTCCCCACCCCTTAAGTGGAGACTCCCTTACACCTCTAGTTGCAAGCAAGAGCACTGTTTTTGTAGTCTATATCCTCAGTGCGGGGTGAGGTCCTGTCCTCCACTCTTCTCACACTGCCTACAGACTCCAGGGTACAACATGCTCCCTTCAGAGCTGGAGTTTAACTTCTGCCTTGGGTGGCTGTTATCCATTGGAAAGGCTGCACATGCCTCCTTTGCTGTTGTTTCCTTGGTGTCTACAACAAAGTCAGCTCATCATTCCCCCTTCCCCTCAGCACCTGTGAGTAGAATGAGCAGGACGTGTTCATGGAGGGCCAGGACAGCAGAATGACGCAGATAGCAAAGGCCCTGACAGAGGGGCAGTGTCTTGCTTAAGATTGCCAAGGCGGTGGGACACTGTGGTTTTTGCTCAGGAGCTCTGGTTCTAGTCAGGACCTCCCATCCTCCTCACATTGTGCCAGAAAGAACCTGAGGCCTGAAGTGTTCATAAGAAGACATGTGAGAAACTGAGTTTGGTAGTGGGTTTCTTGCCTGCTGTGATTTCAGAGCCTTTAATGTGCTCATCTGAGAATGTCACATCCAGTAGCCCCACTTCTGGTCAACATGAACACCCTGCTTGTGAAACACAGTTTGAAATCTTTGACCATCCCCTAGCTTATCATGACTATTTCATGAACATGACACAGCACAGAGATTTGTTGTGATGTTTTTGGGTGGGACAGGAAAAATCCTTTCTGACTAGTATAAATCATTCCAAGTCCCAATATATAAGTGGGATAAAAACAGACCTGTTCTGTTTGAAGGGGTCCCTGCAGATCCTTCTGGCCATCCCTTCACTGCTGTCATCCAGGTAGGGGACACTAGTGCCCGCTCTAAAAACCATGGTACAAGGGGTTGAAATGAGGAGACTTTTAGCACTGCCACTGCAGTTAACTATTTCACCTTGGGCAAGTCAATTAGCCTAACTGGGCCTTAGTCTCCCCACTTATACAATGAGACTGCTGTGAGGACTATAGAAATCTAATCCTTAAGGTTCCGTGGCTCTCTGCTTCTACTACTCCATTGTCGTGTATTCCAAGTTCCAGACTGCCTGTGCTGCCACAGCCACACCGGGCCCAGGAGGCGAAGAGGAATTCATTGATTGCAGAGTGTTGCCCAGGGGCATGGGGTTCCCTGGAGAGGGCATGCTCCATGCAAGATGGAGGAGGTGGGCAGGGAGCTGAGTGGACCTGAATCAGCACCCAGTCAGTGGGCAGAACTGGGAAAGGGACCCAGGTCTCAGGCTCCTGCTCTATCTTTAGATCTCCATAGCAACTGTCACCAGAGCACTGAGCTGAAGACACGGGCTGAGCCAGCTGCCTGTGGGAGGGAGGGGCCTTTGCCTCCCATATCTCTTCTTTTGCTGGGGAAAGGACTCTGGGCTGGTCTCTTGAGCCAGGAAGAGGAGACTGAGAGTGAATCTGTTTGCAGCAGGAAAAGTTTGGGGCCAATACAAAAATAATCAGGACAACACCTTGCTCTTGATAACATGGTCAGTTCACAGAATTCAAGGCCTTTGGCATGTCAGGCTTGTGGCACTGAAAGTATATAAATTAAAGTCCTTCTCCAAAGAGTTCTGAGTCTCTTCTGGGGCCATTCCCAACACTTAGAGAGCATCTATTTGAGCCAGTGTCTAGGCCACAGCTGGAGTCCCAAACAGGACCTCTAACTGAAGGGATGAGGGAGGGTCCTCCCCCTTTTCCTGTCCAACTCCTACTCCTCCCTGGCTCAGCAGGATTTGACTCCCAGCTTGCCTGCTGGCCTCCTCAGTGTCCCCATACTCTCTATCCTCCCTCCACATAGCATGATGCCAGGAGGGAATGATTAACCTAATGGGGTAGATAGGAAACAGAGCTTCCAAGGGTGAAGACATTTGCCCAAGGCCACCCGGCAAGTTAGCAGCCAGGCCAGGCCTCCCTGTTTTCTGATTCTAGTTTGTTCTCCTTCCTATGTCTCAGTAGCAGGTCCCTGGCCAAGGCTAGAAGAGGAAGTAGGAGTCTGCAGTCAGTCCTGCACACAGCAAGTACCTGGTCACATCCTTGGTAAACTCAGGTGAGCCACAGACCAAGGCAAATGGCTTTCTTCGACAGCAGCCCACGAGCTCTTCGACCAGGTCCTGGCCCAGGCGGCCAAAGCAGGTCTTCTCGCGGTAACTCCAGGGAAGTTGCTCTGGGGAGTTCTCCTGGAAAGACAAGAAAGAGCAGTGAGTCCTCAAGAGTTCACACAGATAGCTCTTCTCTGACAAATAAGGAAACAGGTGATGAGGGGGAAGTCGACCTTTGCCAGTCCCTTCCATGAGCCAGGCTCTTTCTCAGATGGCAGTTGTTACCTTCCATAGAAAATGGGCATAAAGAGGAGAGGACATCCAGGGGCACGAAGTCAGGGGCAGCACCAGGACAGGAACTAGAGTCCCACCACCTCTTGCCACAGTGGCTATACTAGTCACTGGAACCAAGACTCCCTGCCCTTAACTAAGTTCTCCCAGAACCCATCCTGGCATCCACCACCGTCATTTCAGCATGCTTTTATCCATTTTCATTAAGGTTTCAATGCCTTAACATATTTGTTTGACAGATGCTTCCTTGGTGCTCACTCTGCGCCAGGCACTGTGTTAGGCACTGGGGACATGGCAGCTGCTCAAACAGATGAGGCTCCATGTCTCACTCTGGCTGAGTGTCACGAAGGTCCCAGGGAGCAGTGCTGTTATCTTGCACAAGCCGGCTGAGCAGGCATTAAGGGATTAGGAAACCAGGAATAGGCTCCTTCTCCTGCCCCTCCTGCCTTGACTCGAATTTTCCTCCTGAGGGTTACAAAGTGAAAGTTCTACATCTGCTGGATGGAGGAACTTCTACTATTTTAAAACTGTGTAAGTCATTAAATATATGTAGACCAAAGAACTTTAACAAGACAAGAGACCATGCAACCAGCACGTAGATAAGGAAAACAAAGCCAGAGTGCATGGCTGTCCCTGCAGCCCCATGCTCTGTGAGGCCAGCTGCTAGTCCTGGGCAAGGGAGATGGGATGGAGACAGGAGGGTGGAGTGGGTCAGTTGAGTGACTGGCCTCTCTAGCTATAGAATGAGGGCAAAGTTTGTGGGAAACCACTGCCAGCAAGCCACAGTGAGGGTGCAATGCTACAAAGGTCCATAAGTAAAGACCTTCAGTCTCACATGTGCTCCCAGGGCCTTGCAGCCCCACCTCATGCAGTTCTTCTGACCCCAAGGCCCTCTGGTGCTGATGAGGGGGTCCTCTCTGATGATCTGGTTCTCGCCATGCTCCCCCCATTGTCTGACCTACCCGGTGGGTCCTCAAGGGCAGGGCCCATTAGGGCCCACTGCCAAATTCCCTCTGGCCAGTTGGATTCAGCTGACTTCATCTCAACTGTGTACCCTGAGATGTACTGGGTCTGGTTGCTGCTCAGATAGAATGGGGGCCCCATGACGAATGACAGTGCAGTGAGTAAAGTGACAGAGGAGTCGGACTGTGACCTCAGAAACACCAGCACCAGCCAGGGTTATGGGAGAGTTTCCAGGATGGAGCTGCACCTCAGCGGGACCTGGAAGGATGAGTAGGTGTTAGGAGAGGAGAAGAAACCACTCCTAGCAGGTGACAGCAGGACCAAAGGCCTAGAACAGTGCACTGGCATCTGCAAGCCACCAGTGATACAGGACACAGCAGCTGGGAGGACAGGCCAGGAGACAGGCTATAGAAGTTGGCAGGGCCACAGGGCTTGGACACTGTCCTGAGATCAGTGGGGCACCATGGAAGGAGAATGGTGGTGTGGTCAGAGCTACCCTTCTGGCTGCAGGATGAAGGACAAATTGGCAGGGAGTTTTGGGAGTGGAGAATCCTGGAGAATGCTGTTGCTAGGGACTAGGCAGGGAAGGAGGCATCTGAGTGAAGGGTGTGTGAGCAGGCAGGAGTTACCATATTCACCCCTCTTCACCACCCTGCTATTGATGGCCAGCCTACTCACCTGTGCAACCCTGGGCCTCTGGCATTATCAAAGTCCCTGCCCAGGACTGAATGTGAACTTTAATGCAATCCTCAAGGGGAGGCTCAAAATGCCTGCTCCAGGAAGCCCTCCCTGACCTCCCTGAGTTGGCCTCTAGCATCTTGGACATCCTCTCAACATGTGTGCTGGACTGTCTCATGCTGATGGGCACTAAGAGAATGGCTTCTGAGCTGGACCAACTGGGTTTGTACTCAGCTGTCTACCAGCTGGTTGTTACTTTGTTCCTAATCTTTCTGTGCCTCAGTTTACACACCAGTAAAAGGGGCAGGATGAAAGTAAAAGCTTCATGAGATTGTAGTGAGATTAAATGAGTCAATACACATTAAATGCTTCATATGGTGCCAGACACAGAGAAGTGGTCAAAAAAAGGGAGCCATGGTCAGCCATCCCTGTGGCTGTTGCTCTATGAGTGTCTGGAGGGCAGGAAATGGGACATCTTCATTTTTGTGTCCCTTACACCTGGCATGAGATTGGAGAATGGAGGGAAGGGAAGGCTGGCTGGCTGCTTCAGTGACTCTGCAAGGTGGCTGTCCTTCTGCCATTCCTGCCACTGTCCTGGCCCAGGCTCTCTCTGGCAGAGCTGACATGATTCCGACCTGTGGCTGGCCCTCGCCCCACCTCCTCAGGCTACATACAGGCCTCCTGCTTCATGCGCTATCTTGGGCACTTCTTGCTGCTGGTTAATGTTCACCAAGCATGACCCTACCTGTGTTCATGCCACGGAGCATTGTGCCCATGGACAGGCCTGTAGGCCCTGGCCCCTAGGGAACCAGGGAACTCTGATATCGTGAAGGGTGATTAAGCCACAGTGTTGAGGATCACGTAAGTTGTCCTCAAAGAGGAAACTGATGAAAGGGATGTCCACAGTACAGGGGAAGAAGGCTGACCCTAAGCAACAGGGAGCGGAAGGAGGTACCAGCAGGGAACTCCAACCCAGGGGCTGCAGGAAAGTGAAGTAAAGCTCAGAACACAGGAAGACAGGCAAACAAAGAGAGCTAAGGGTCCCCATGCTGTGCCCTGGTGGTGTGTGTTGGGGAAGGGGGGGCAGGAAGGTCACTGGAGTGAAGGGAGGAGATAGGAATCAGAGGAAGGTGTTATTAGGACACAGACTGGCTTCCAGCTAGAGAATCTGCAGCTTGGTGAGTCTGACAGCTGTCCTTCTGGAGGGACAAACTGAGGTGGCATGGACCCTACTCCTTGTAGTGCACTTGGACCTGCTTACTCTGTCAGTCACTGATGGAACTCCTCTTGAGCCTGGCATCAAGCTAAGCTCAAGGAGAGAGTGCTGCTCACAAGTCTTGGCCTTAAGGACCTTAACAGGCTGTAGCCTGCTCCGACCCCACAGCCAGGCCCCAGTCCACAGGACTGTGATGCCAAAGGGCAGGGTGTTAGGTAGGAGCCAGAGCTCAGGAATGCGACAACCCTAGACCCAAATCCTGGCTCACCTATCTATGTGTATAACACACGACCCTGCAGCTCTCTGAGCTCCCTTCTTCCTCTGTGTAAAGAACAAGGTAACACCTGTGGTAGAGATTAGACAGTATGGGGTGAAGAGGCTGCAGCTGGTCCTTGGGCTAGGTGCAAGGGAACTGCAATGTCTTAGGGAAGAAAGTGACCATGCTTACCTGGCTGAGTACAAAGAAGATGCGGATGTTCCAAAAACGGGCCTGATCCTGGAGGAAGGTTTTCAGGTAGATATTCTCAAAGGTCTTGAAGCAGCAGACCAGAGTGACAAAGGTCTCATCATCAGCATTGTCTGTGATGCTCTGTAGGATGGACACCATAGGGGCCAGGCCTGTGCCCGCAGCCAGCATGAGGAGCTCACCATGCTGGGGAGTAAAATGGGTAGGACAGGTGGTTTAGGAGGGTCTCACCTTCCCACACAGGGCCTTCTCTTGGGTTTGCTTGAGCTGGACAGAAGTGTCCTTCCTGGTGTCCTATCATCTATTCCCCGATCTACCTGCTCCAAGAAGCCTCCTGGTATATGAGGCCTGCATAACAAGGTTACGGATCTTGAGGGAGAAAGAACCTAAAGTGTAGCCTAGCCTATAAGGGGCTTGACTGCCTTCTAAGGCATCCCAAGGACTCTCTGCTTACACACTTCCGCTGCCAGGGAACTCATTACCTCCCAAGGCTGCTTGCTCTATTGTGTGCTGACTGCCCCTGCCAGGGAGGTCTTCTCACTTTCCTCTCAGCTGAAACCTGCCCAATCCAACTACATCCCAGTCCTGCTCTCTGGGCTACTTTCTTTGTTCCTGGTCACAAGGGACACATCTGTAGCCCCTCTCACGTGTAAGATCTGGCCTTAGCATGTGTTTTGTGGTGTCTCAGTTGCACGACAGCGCTCAGGTGCTTCTTCCCCCATTTTTATACACACACAGGGTGCAATGTTAGCACTCTCCTGCTTCTAGCCATGCTTGGCCTTGGATTTTAGCTGTGTGCTCTTGTAACCCCAGGCCCTTGAGAACAGGGTAAGGAAGTTGTTCCTGTTTCCTCCTGGCCTGAAGTAGACACTGGGTCAAAGTCATCTTGGCCACCTTTTCTAAGAGGAAGCCTCTGCATGCCTCATGCTGCTTCTCTGAGTCCACAGACTACTCGGAAGCCCCTGTATTTCCTTTCTTCCTTCTTTCTTTTCCCTCCCTGCCTCTGCCTCCCTCCCTTCCTTCCTTTCTTCCCCTGCCTCTTTTTGTCGGTACTGGGGTTTGAACTCAGGGCCTCAGGCTTTCTAGGCAGCAAGTGGTAGAATTACCACTTGAACCACTCCACCAGTCCCCTGTATTTCTTATCCAGGGGCATTTTGGGCCCAGCAGCACTCTATCTCTGAGCTCTACCCCAGCCTTGATAGTATCATTACACACATATACACCCATGCATGGAATATATTCCAAGGTAGTAAGATTGGTGTATCTGGGGAGATGGCCTGCAGGTGTTTTTTGTTTTCTTCTTTTTCTATCTCTATCTGCTGATTTTTTCTGTTGTTGTTAGTGAACGTGCATTGCATTTGTAATAAGGGAAAAAGCCAATAAAAGCTATTTTAAAATTAAACAAAAAGAATGGAGAGGCAAGCATGATTCATTCTTTTCCATTTGTTTTCATTTTGCTTTGTTTTCCTAATTATAAACATAATGGGTGTTCATTGCAGATAATTTGGAAAATATAATGAAGAAAATAAAAATCACCCATTATTTCACCACCCAGAGCTGTTAACATTTCACTACATTTTCCTTTCATATTTTCCTGTGCATTTTAAGTTAGTTTCTCAACCTATGTACATTCAGTTTTGTACCTAATGTTTGGGTCACTCGATCTTATAACATAGCATATAACAGTATTTATAAGCCTAAATTTAAGATCTAGGGTAATATTCTATGTATTGCCTGTAACACAGCATACTTAACCATTCCCCTGTCATTGGATATTCAGTTGCCTCCATTTTTTTTTTTTTGCTATTATAAATAAAGAAGCCATGAACACATGCAAAAGTTAGCATTTCAGATTCTTTCCATAGAACAGACTTCCAGAAGTGGAATTACTGGGTCAAAGAATTTAAAGATTCTTAAGACTCTTGGCACAGTCTGCCAATCTGCTTTCCAGCTGTGCACCAACCAACTCTCCTTGGGAAAGTCAGGGAAGGACCTGAACACGACAAGAAGATGAGGGAGAGAGCCTTTCCAGCTTGGAAGTGAGGGTCTCCCAAGCAGGGAGCCATGACTATATTGAGTCTTGTGAGTGGAAGGTGCAACTGGAACAGACCTGAGTTAGAGGTACCGAGGTCCTAAAGCATAGGCAGCCATGGATAGTCCTAGAGCAATGCAGGAGGTTTTTTTAGTGCCTATTCCATCTCCTCTCATGTCCAACCCGAAGGATACCCTGGGGATTGGTTTTACACTCCAGAAGATGGCAGTGAGCTTCAATGGCCTGGGACAGAAGAATCACAGCCCTGGAGGATTAGCAAGGGGTGCTCCCAAGGACTGAGGGTACAGGCACTGACCTCATTTGGTTTATAGGAGAAGCTTCCAAAAGGTCCTCGCCAGAAAGCTGTGTCTCCTGCTTTCCAGGACTCCACATACCGGGACATCAGCCCGGTCTGGTAGCACTGGAAACAAACACAGGGAGGGTAGAGTGGGGCAGGCACACGCTGCCAACACAAACCACACCACCCTTCGTGTGGAGCTCTTCTTGCATGCTCAGTGCGCTCATCTTGCCCACAGCCACCTCCGATACCATCCCTGAAGGCTGTACTGTCACTCTTTTCTCAGCTGAGGCCCACATGCTCACATACAAGGTAGAGAGTGAGGCTGAGATGAGAATCTACAGTACCCATAGCCTTGCCAGAGGTAACACAGAAGGAAAACTGGGTGATGATTAATGACAGTTAGCACTCAGTGTCAGGGAGAGGTGGGGATTGTGACAGATTAGGGAGGGGATTCTCCTTCTAAGGTGGAAGTCACTTTGCAGATTCCAAACCATAGTGTTTGGGGCAGATGCTGCCAGATCTTCTGATTTTCTGAGGGGCAGGAAATCCATATTTTTATTTAAAATCTCCCATTTCTGAAATGTCAGTAATTCAAAATTTTAAAAGACTATCCAGGCCAAAAACAAGTACATTTGCACTCAGGATTCAGTCTGCAGGCTACCTGTTTGTGATCTCTGGATTATCTTACACCACTTCTAGGCTGGTATGGAAGGGGCTCCCCCACAAAGGTGGGCAGTCTACACTGCCTGGGCACCTGCACACTCTGTGCCAGGCACCAGGCTGGGGATGCAGGGCAGACAGCTGAACCTGAAGCTCCATGAAGACAGCCAGTCTGAACTGAGGAAAAGACTTAAATATCTGAATCAATTAATCTGACTCAGATTAATTGCGGGCTTGCAAATTAGGAGGCTTGCAGTCTAAGGGGACTATGTCTCAGATACACATGGCAGAGACTGTCTAATATCTCAAGAGAGAGTGAAGGGCCAGGAGCCATTGGGGAAGCATAGGCATTCCCACAGAGTGGGGTTAAGGACAGCTTCCTGGAGGAGGAAGCATCTGAGCCGGACCTTGAAGGGTAGGCAAGATCGAATTCCCTGGGGATAGGAGCCGAAATGCAGAGAGGGACTCTGGGCATCTGAAATGGTATGGTCAGTGGTAGGAGGGCAAGTTTGGGGAGGGGCAAGTGGCCATGGTGGGGTAGGTTGAGGGGGAGTACTGGAAGACACGATTGAAGGGTTTTTGGAGTGCGAGTCTAGCCAGGCTTGACAGAGAGTCTGGGCTAATTACCTATTTTTGAGTGTCCACAACCACTTCTGAAACCATCTCTGACTGTGCACATCACCTACACAAGGCAAGGGAAGTCCTTAGCTCACCGGAAAGAGGTCTGGGAGGGAGGGCTCTATTTTGTCTTGCCTTGCTGAAGGCTGTGTCTTATAGCATGCTTTGGTTTTAGCCCTACTATGAGGAGGCACAACCCAAGCTTGTGGTCCCTGTGGCCCTATGGCACAGTATAGCACCAAGGAGAAGAGCAGGATTCTTCTGTGACTCCAGCAGCCACACAAAGCCTGGCACAGATTAAACAGTCAATATACACTTGTGAAGGACAAATGACAATGAATTTTTGTCCTACTTGGGGTCCTATTGCCCCCATGGCCTTTGAGCTTCAGTTTCTTTATCTGTAAAATGGGGATAATATGATCTATGTGTGGTTATGAGTTGAAAGCAGATAATGAAAATAAAGGGCCAGAAGCAGTGCCTATGCCCACAGGTGCCTGAGAAGAGAAGCCCTCCCTTCTGTCAGCATGGGAAGGTAAACCCCAGACCCCAAATTGCCTTCCCAATTTGCAGACATTTCCGGCTCTTCTTAGCCAGCAGCTTAGGGATAATGAGGTACCTCTCTAAAGACAGGCTTTCCGGCAAACGAAGGAGAAAATCAGCCTTGCAGCTGGGAGGGATCCAGCTGCTCTGGAGGACTGTTTCAGGCTTATCCTCTCAGCAGAAACACACCCAGACAAGCAGCGTGGGGAAGCAGGCCATTTGGAGAGGATTTGTGGAATCTCCCAGACAAACATTCGCGTGCAGAAGGGAGCCCATCCAGGCTTATGTGTGAGGGAATAAACATTTGGGCTCTGCAGGCAGGCAGGGAAGGTGGGAGCCGGAGACAGCCCTGGGGTCTTACAGCTGGAGCCCGGGCTTGCCCACCCATAGCACATCTTACTAGCTGCCGCCCTTGGGTCCTCCGGGGCCTCAGCTTGCTTATCAGTTAAATAGGATAATAATGCATGTCTTGGAATGGGTTAGGATGTGAAAGCCATTCTTCGGCATTGGTGTTCCCCAGGGTTCTGTCTGGAAAATGAAGTCTAGAGCTACACATCACCTGAAATTGCTCTTGCTGGAAGTTCAAATGTTAGAGCCAGCAGTTTCATGTCCTGAATATCCTCTCCACACAACTGGGCCTCAATGACGTCATACGTTTGTTGCCTAGTCCCCGGGTCTCCGGGGCATTCTGTATCTGACCCACTTCGCATTTCATCTCTGCCCATTCCTCCGCCCACCAAGTTTTCCCCAAGTACTCTCCCACTCAGAGGGAGAGGACTGTGTTCTGTGTCACCCCTCCCTGCCGCTGGCTATCTGTCCCCTCAGCCTAGAAAGCCATTCCCAGCTAGACCAATTGGTACTCCTTTAAGACCCTCCACCAAGAGGTGAGGTCAGGTTAGCTGAGTCTACAGGGTCCTCAAGTCCCCACCTGCCTGCCTTTCTCAATCCACGCTGTGTCAGGATGAATGACTTACTGCCCCAATTCAGGCCTCTTTTGCTATGCTGTTCACAGCCCTCCAAGCTTCCTTCCCTCATTCCCACTCCTTAAACACATCACAAACACACCGCTCTATTGGCAAGCCTGGCCCACTTCCCTGTACTCTCAGCTGCCTCCTTTGTCATGGCATCTATCACACTGATTTGTCTTAGTGTGATCACTAGTCCTGGGGGTCAGTCCTTTGAGGGAAGGCACTGCATATCACTCACCTCTGGACCCCAGTCCAGGCACAGTAGGTGCAGCCCTCCCCAGCCTGGCTCTGTGCTCATTCTCCACCAATGGATACAAGGTGAGGAGAAGCTTTTCCCCCAAGTTCTCCAGGAACATGCCCTGTGTCTAGCATTCCCTTATCCAGGAGAGGAGGAGATGGGAGGAGGCCTCTTCACCTGGCTCCACTGCTCGAGTAAGTTGGCCTCCTCCCATGCCAACACTCCCTATCCCAACCATGCTGGCGAGGGAGGCCCAAGTCCCAGCACCTTAGAGCAGCCTTCACTATTGTCAACTCACCTTGATTAAAACATCAAAGTATCCTTCTGCATTGGCAGGACTGATGGGTGTATAGGCTCTCTGAATCTCTAAGCCATCTACTATCCCTCTGGGAAAGGAGAAGCACACAGTCAGATGGTCAGCCAGTCATTCAACAAACCCTTACCAGGCACCTCTTCTGCCAGGCTGGTGCCAGTGAAGATGGGGTATACTTATCCTCAGAGGCCCCCACTGAGGGACAGTGGGGGACAGATATAGCAGAAACAGCACTGGACTAACCCACTGCCATGTGCTGGTTATGAGGCCCATGTAGGTCATTTAATCCCTCAGCAGCACCTCCTGCAAAACAGGGACAGTTGTCTATGTCCTGGTTGTATGTCTTCACTGGAATTATAGATGGGAGAGTGCTTCAAAAAAGCACACTGATGATGTGAGCAGTTTGGGGAACGTTACTGTGGTTTTTCCCGACCTCTTCTCTACCACAGAGTGATAAGGATAAAAACAACTGTGAAGATTTATGAAACACTTACTACCATGTGCCAAGAGCATCAGAACTGGAAGGATCCTTAAAAGGGCTCTAGTCCAAAGCCTTGCCTTTGCATAAATCACCTCTAAAATGCTATCAACAACAGGGTCAGGATATTAACCACCAGTATCAATAACAACCATGTTGTATTAATGCACCAAGCATTAATTCTATATATTAATCTACTATGCACCAAGCATATTAGATGCATTATTTCATTTTAAATGATAACCCCAATATGTAATCTGATGCTCAGAGAAGAAAAGTCATTTGTACAGCTAAAATTCAACCACAGCTCAGACTTCAGACTAGGCTGTTAACCACTGCTCCAAGAAGCTTCTGAAGAAGACAGGTACGGTGATGCATACCTATCATCCCAGCACTCAGGAGGCTGAGGCAAGAAGAGCAAAGAGTTCTGGATCAACATGTAGCTTTTTTTTTTAATTGCAAAAAAAGCAAAACCCAAAACAAAACAAAAAAACCAACTTCCCAGAGTCATGCCAGAATTCCTCTCTCAACCTCTACTGCATGCAAAATGTTCTGTTCTGAGGTCTGCAAACATTAAAAGGCCCTATCCCAATGCATCCAATGCAGGGGAACTGGACAGAAATAGTTAAAAAGACACTTATGAAACAAATGAGGAAATAAGGAATAGAACATATAACATGGCTTAGATGCAAAGAGCACAACGTCATCTGCTGCACCAGAGGTCAAACTCCCATGTTTCAGAGAGAGCTTCAGTTCTCATCTGCAGAACCTCAGAGGCCTCTTGGAGTTGGGTATTGAAGGATGAGTAGGCCATTGACAGGTGAAAGTGGGGATGGGAAGGGAAGTAATTCCAGGCAGAAGAAACAGTACAGGCAAAAGCTCAGAGGCAGGACAATATAGGTGAGTAAGGAGTTGGTGGGTGGATCATGAGGCTAAGACAAAGGGCATGTGTGGAGTGGGAAAGGGAGAACTTGATGGGAAAGGAGGCCAGGGCCCTGGATTAGGTACACCAGCAGTATTTGAATGGAGACTGATAAGGTCAGATGTGTAAGCTAGGAATGTCACTGCAGTGGTAGAAAGAAGACAGTAGGGTATTCTAGGCACCCCAGACTATGGAGGGAGGGTTGTGTTGGACTGTGGTCTGAACTGTGGCTCCTTTTGCCTCCTCAAACAGTGAACTGAAGGACTGCCAGCCAGTCCACATACCAGAAGAAGGTGGACATTAACACTAGGGTCCAGTATGTGGCCAGTGGCCAGAGTCTGACCAGTAATAAGCTCTGTCCTGGTTCCTTTGCTGGCTTCTCCCCCCAAGTGTTTTCAAGGCTCAGATCTATGCCTTACCCTCTTTTTATGCACACATGCTCTCAAATGCCATCCAGGTATGTGTTGGTGATTCCTAGGATCTATATCCACAGTTCAAGTCTCTCTGCCAGGCCTTGGACCCCCACAGCTGGCTGCCTGGGCATTCCACAAGGCAAGGTGGGTATGGAGAACAGGGTAAGAGTAGAGTCCCAAAGCAGGCCAGGAGGAACCTCAGAGGAGTAGTCAAGAGTACAACTCAGGAGCCAGGCTGTCAGGGTTTTGATCCTGCCTTAGTGATGTAGTAGCTATATGATATTGGGCTAGTTCCTTATAGTGTCTTTTCTATTAACTGGTGCTAATCACATTAGGTTAAAAGCACAGGCTCTAGAGCCAGACTGCTTGCTTTCAAATCCTGGCTCTAATACTTCCTAACTGTGTGATCTTGGGCAAATTCCTGAACTTCTCTGACGTCAGTGTCCTCTCAGGAATGATAATGGCACCTACCACACAGGAATTTGTGAGGGTTAAATCAGTTCATGCACATAAGCACAGAGAACTGTGCACTGGATAGTAAGTGCTGTTAAAGTGCTCATGTTATTATTATTTATCACAAAAATGCATTATTGAGTTTCATCCCAAGAACCTTCTGAGTCTTGTGTCTATCTTGAAGATGACAATGGAGGCTTAGAAAGGTCAAGTGAGCAATCCTAGGCCTCCCAGCTAGCAAATGGCAAGGCAGTGTAGAAAACTTTGGTCCTCCCACTACCTAAGTGTACCGTAGGACGAGGTGCTGCCCAGGCTGCAGGCCAAGCTGGCTGTTCCCAGGTAGTGCAAACCGAATGTGGTAGGTGTCTTTTGTGAGTCTGTCCATGGCACTGATGTGGAAGGCCAGGAAGGCGTCTGTGCTCATCTTAGAGGAGCAGCTCTGCAATAGGAAAAAACCTGTTAGCTAGAGGTCAGGCCCAAGTAATAAACAATTGTGTACCCTTTCCACTTTTGCCAGCAACAGCTATTTAAGCTGGTGCGTTTTCTACATGTGGTCCACCATACCTCCCTCTGATTCAAGAAAGCAGATGCTCTATCTGGAGCTTAACTTGCTCAGCCCCAGGATCCAGCGCAGGCTCCTTAGCCTACACTCAGGAGCCCGGTGAAATTACCCCAAGCCTCATTCTATTCCCCCATGCACCAGATGTCGGACTTTTCTCTCTACTTCCAAGACCACTTGTTCCCTCCTACCTCAGTTCATGGCTCAAGTAGTACCCTGTGCCCAGAACACTCACTTCCAATGTACAAAACACCTGCTCATCTTCCAACCTGCTAAATTCCAGAAAAACAGAGTCGAGAAGCTAAAGGGACCTTAAAGATGGTCTCATCCAATCTCCTTCTGACACATATGGGGAAACTGAGCCCTGATTGGTACTGGCTTACTTTGTGCAAAGTCACACTGAACAGGGACTCAAACTCCTGTCTTCTGGGTTTCAGTCCATTGCCCTTACCATTGCACCCTTCCCTATGCCTTCTCCAGGAAGCTGCCTCTGAATGCCATGGTTCACAGAGCTCTCTCTCCTGTGAAATGATCACATCCACTTTAGCTGACCTGTCCAGGTCAGGGTACAGCATCAAATTTGGAACCCCAATTACCCATGGTAATGCTGATCATGTCACTTGACTGAAACTCTCAAACTTGGTATCCAAGGCTTTGTCTCTGTTGTACCTTCTCCTGTGCCCCCATCTAGGCCAGGATGACCTCTTTATCATCAACCAGAGCATCTGGGCACCCTCTTTTACAGTTGCCTGGACTCTGGAAAGAGCATTGGACTAGGTGTCGGGAATGCTAGGGTTAGCCCCAGATCAGCTGCTGCCCATCTGTGTGGACTTATGCAGGCTATTTCATCCTTTGGGTTTAGTTTCCTAGTCTGTAAAAAGCAGCCATTCATCCCTGGTAATTTTATAGGATTGTCATAAGGGTAAGATAACAATCTAGAAGTAGTTTATAAAATATAAGTTGCTATGGGAATACAAAATCTTTATTATTACTGCTTCATTAAAAGTTAAAATAAAATTGATCATTAGATTGAAATATGCTGTCTCATAAAATCCGGAATATCGCTTAACTTTCCATTTGTTCTATTAGGTGATGTCAGCTACTATTTACTGAGCACCTACTATGTGCCAGATGATTTTATATATTTATCTCATGAAATCCTAGCAATAACCTACAAAGTACTAATATTCCCAGTATTCAGATGAAAAAACTGAGGTTTAACAAACTAAAGTGACATGCTCAACATCACACAATTAACTAGCTGAAGTGGGCCTCAGCTCACTCTTTCTATTACAGTCTTGTGGTTCTTTTCCCTCTTCAATAAGCTGAGGCTTTTGAGGGCTGGTACCCTAGCATTTTTACTTTATCAACAACTTCCTTGTGCCTAGCACACATAACATGGTACTCAGTAGACTTGGGAGAAATTCATTCATTCAACAAATATTTATTGATTGTAACATCAGGAACTACTCAGGGTGCTGAGGACAGAAGAGTGAGCAAGGCAGTCCCTGCTCTTTCACAGAGCTTATATTCTTGCAAGGAGACACAGACATGGTCTACATAAGCAAGTACATCTTGGTGTCTGGAGGTACTGAGAATTAAGAGAGATGAAATTTGAGCAGAGATCAGAAAGGAGTGAAAGGGTGAGCCATGTGGAGATGTAGGCAGTGAAAGGGAAGAAACACAGGCTGTCGTAAATATTTTCCAGTCACTGGCAGAAGCCACAGTGCTCTGGTCCCCACCACTACCTTTCAGTGAGATGACTACAAGAAGGTTTTTAATAGGGCTAGATACAGATAAAGTCATGTTTTGGGGTTCAAAGAAACAAGAGTTTTTTTTCAGGAGGTATGATGTATAACTGAAGAACTACATGCATATAAATGACTGAGCTTTGGTCTAGTTTGGGTTCCAACAACAGGAACTTAGAAAAAGTGATGATGAGGCCAGGTTACATCTACAGAAGCATCAATGGGAGGAAATGTTTTTATTCTACCTGGTCATGTGAGACATGGACAATAGGAAGCCTGTTGTGAGGCAGAGACCAGGAATGAGACAGATTCAAAACCAGACTTTTGCACAGTGTCAGAAGGAATGAACCCTTACTATATTTGTACAATATAGAGGTTGAACTCTAGAGTGTGCTGACATATGTAATTGTTAACTGTGACAATTCTCAAACATCAAAATGAAGGGTTAAATTGGTTGGTCCAGACTATGAAGTCTCCTATGAGTTCAGAAAAGGAAGTGAAAGTTAGTAAGGGCCAGAGAAGATATAACAATAACATCCCCTATGTATCTAATATATACTATATGCTAGTTTGTTCCACGAGGGCAAACACTATGTCTGCTTTGCTCATTTTCAAATCTTCAATGGCTTATAGGTACTCTATAGTGAAATAAATACCAGGCTCTGTGCCCCATTTTACAGGTGGAGAAACTAAGGCTGAGGGATATTAAGGGACTTTGCCTAAAACCACACAGTAGCTAACAGGTTTGTTCTAGGCCTGGACTTTGACAAGTGGACTTTGGCCAGGGATCTGTCTGTTTCCAGTATGCCCACTCTTTCCTCTCTGCTAGTCCATTAGAAAAGGCTTCCCAGGGCAGGGGTACTAGGCGGGAGCAAGGCCAGGTAGTCTCCTCCATGCTGGGCCTCCGGTCTGAAGAGTGCCTTTCTTACCTGTGGCTGCTTCCTACTCAGCAGGCTCCCATCTTTCCTGGCTCGAGCTGCCTCCCACCTTGCCAGGTCTTGGTGATATAGGTCGAACACACAGGGTGAACAGCCACTGCCACAGCACTGGGAGGGTAAGGGCTCCACAGGACGCAGCTGCAGCCAGGTCTCCTCAGCATCTTCCTCCTGCTCCTTTTCTCCCATTGTCAGTGTGGCTTGGGCATCCTTGGAGGGACAACAGAATACTCTTTCCAGAACAGTCTAGACTCTGGGAGGCCACCGGCCCAGACTTTCCTCCCTTGCCTGTCTGGGAGAAGGAAAAAAGGAGGTTATGCTGTAGTTTCTATTCCTCACATTCTCCCCAAGGTCTGCAGGTGCCAGCCTCTGTGCAAACCCTGGGGACAGGGATGGATCAAACATAAGTCTGTTGTCTGGTAGGGCACACTTATCACTTAATACCATTGGTTTTAGGACACTCTCTCTGTGTGAAATAACTCTTTTCTTAGTAAAAAGGGTTTGGCTTCAGAAAACTCTACTTCGTTTGAGCTCTATGACTTCAGCAAGGTTTAGAGCCTGGGACCCCTGTGAGAACAAAAATCCTGTCTCAACTCTTCCTGTATTTTCCCACCAAGCACAGTCACTTCTAGTGACTGGTGAGTGCTTAATCCCTTTATAAATATGGTCTGGGAGCTAGCCATAGTGTTAGGTGCTAGGATACAACAGAAGTGTGAACAGGGCATAGTTCCTATCTGCACATATGGGATATCATGTTGAGTGGATATGGCCATCGATTCAACCCACTTTTATTATGTGTTATGCAGCAGGTATGCTTTATGAGTGAATAAGGCCTGGTCCACTTTTATGCCAATTTCCTACACGCTGTGGTTTGGGGGCAGGGGGAGTAAAGTGAGATAACTAAAAGAACTCTATTAACTGCTGCATGGTATGAGGGTTAGTCATGGTAGCCTCTCTTAAATTTTCCTTTTTTTTTTTGTGGTTCTGGGGTTTAACTCAGGGGTTCGCACTTGTGAAGAAGGGGCTCTACTGCTTGAGTGCCTCCAGCTCTTTTTTCTCTGGTTGTACTTTTTGGAGATAAGGTCTAGCTTTTTGCTCAGGTTGGCCTGGACCGCAATCCTATTTTATACTTTTTGCTATCTCTAGGGTGACAAGTGTACACCACTACACTCAGCTTTTTTTCTGTTGAAATGGGGGTCTCAAAAACCTTTTTGTTCAGGCTGGACTGGAATTGTGATTCGTCTCAGCCTCCCAAATAGCTAGGATTACAAGTGTGAACCACTGGCACCTGGCTTCCTTTTCCGTGTTTTAGTAATTCACTTTCTCTGCTGTTTTGGAAATTGGTAGAGAAGTTGGCCATGTCAGTCATGAGTTTTAAAGACATGATTCATGCCATTCCTCTCAGCTTCTACCCTTCCAGTCTGAGGCACCATCTTAAGCTAGGCTCTGACAGACCTTGTTGTCTGGAGGCCTCTCCCCACTCTTCAGGTCTTGGTTGCAAGGTCATCTCCCCTCAGATACCTCCCCTAAACCTCCCTTGTCATTCTTTATCAAGCACCCTACTTGTTTCTATTAGGTATCCATGAATTTACTAAGTGCAGGGGATACAGAAACCCCTGGGCTGGAGGGGAGCTGGATTCAAATGGGAGAACCAAGCACCAAAACAGAAACAAAAACGAACTCTCCCCACCCCCCCAAAAAAAAAAAAAAAAACCTCCAGAAACCTCTGCACTTATAGAGACACGGCCATTAAACAAAATCAAATGAAAAACATACAGTATGATAGTGTTAAATGCGAGAAAAAAATAAGCAGAAGGGACAGAACGTAAACTCACAATTTATTCACCAATGCCAGCCTGGTGCTTAACACAGCAGGCATGCGATGGCGGGTGTGGGGCAAAGGGGCAGCTCCACGCTCTGGCCCTGCCTCTAGCAGGAGAAAAGGAAATCCCCAGGAAGAGGGAGGCTCTGGGGCCGGGTGCGGGGCTGGTGTAGGGGACAAGGCCAGTGGGGCTCAGGGGAGGGGTAGCAATTACAGCAAAGCAGTACTGAGAAGTGGGTGGAAACTTCGTAGGCACCCACTGTGTGCCGGGCGCTGTGAGGTGCACCTGCTTTGGCATTCCTATTCCTATTTCCACAGTAAGGTACATTGGAGGGTTGCCCAACCTCCGGCTGCTCGTAAGCGATCTCCAGCATGTTCTAAATTCAGGTTGAAGGCCCTGGCACTCTCTTCGTCCCATCCAACCCCATCACTCACCTAAACTCCAGCAAAATCCTTCTCACCTGAGTTTCCTCAGGTCCCTCCTCCCCCCACTCCCTGGGGAGGCGGGGAGCGCTTAGCGGACCCCACCTATAAGAAAATGAAAATTGCCTGAGGGGCGGGGCAAGACAAGGACACACTGACTATGATTGGGTAGAATGCCTGCCACTCACGAAGCGAGGCTTGGAGTCCAGCCCCTTTTGCTCCCGCCAGACCCTGCGCGGGGAAAGATGGCGACGTCCAGGTGGCGGTCTTGAGGAGACAGATCGGTATGGTGTTGGCTGCTGTGCCCGCAAAGCGGGCGCTAGCTGGCTCTGCGGGGCTCGGCCTGGGGGGCTTCGGGGCCCCGAGACGCGGGGCGTACGAATGGGGCGTACGCTCTACGAGGAAGCCCGAGCCTCCACTGGACAGGGTGTACGAGATCCCTGGACTAGAGCCCATCACTTACGCGGGGAAGATGCACTTCATGCCCGGGCTGGCGCGGCCGGTCTTCCCGCCTTGGGACCGCGGCTGGAACCATCCAAGGTTCCACCGCTCGCCCCCGATTGAAGAACATTCGCTGTACAAGGACCAGACCTGCTACATCTTCCACCAGCGTTGCCGTCTCCTCGAGGGTGAGGCCCCAGGACAGGCGGGTGGAGACCTGTTTCTCTGCTCAGCACTAATCCTGACCCTCTGTGGCTTTGGACAAGTCCTTGAAACTCTGTGGGTCTTGGTTTCTCCGTCTGCGAAGTGTGCCCATAGTGACATCCATCTTCTAAGAGTTGTCAGGATTCCGTGGGATGTAAAGAGCTGTATTTATGTGAGGGAGTAATAAGAATTTGGGTCAAAGTGAAAGACTTACTGTCTAGGCTTAGCCCTGGCTCTAACTCTCAGAGTGACTTTGGTAAGTAGCTTGAGTTCCCAGTTCCTGTGAAATGACAAGACAGTCCACATTGACTGTCCTAGCCCAGATATCCTGGAGAGTACCTGTACATTTAAGATATAGATAGAGGAACCATAGTGGATACAAACAGAAGAGTGTTTCACTTCAGGCCTGTCACTCATTTCACAGCATTGCTAATTGGAAGTGAGAGGGCAAGTGATTTGCTCACAGATGCACCTGTGGGTTGCTAGTGAAGCCAGATTTGCAACTGTGGCTTTCTAGGGCAGTGTCACTTAGTCACAAATCAGAGCTGAGTTGTGTTTAAGGAAAGGATCTGGATCACAAAGTCCTCTACTAACTTCTGCTCCTATGTCACTCTCAGTAAGACAGATCAAAAATGACCAAGCCAAAACCAGTCTGTCTTGAGCAGTATCAGGAATTATTTTCCAGAGTCCAAGAGGGGGGGATTGTTTATTAAGAGTTGCTTTCTCATTCTTTAGTCTTCCTTCTCCATCCAAATCAGAATGGGAATAGGACAGGTCCTGAAAACAAAATGGTTGAAGTGGGAGATAATTAGGAAGGAAAGAGACCTGGAAGGATTTGGAGACTAAGCCAGAGTATAAATATCCTAAATTTGAAAAATTGAAGTCAATCGGCCAGCCTCTTAAACTGCTCGATCCTATTCCAGTAAATTGATTTTCTAGTCATTAAACACTTTCAGTGTCTTCACAGGGTGCTGTGAAGGATCTCACAAGACTTGGCACATTTTAGTGATGCTGATAATGGAATACCAAGTTGATGAATGTGTTTACAGTATTTTAGAAGTTACACGAATTTGAGTAGACTGAAAATACATCTTATGTCCTATACTTTTCCCATTCCTAGAGAGGTTTTATAAAATCTGTAATAAAACTGTCCAAGATACAGGACTAGAGATGTTGATTGGGGTCATGGGTAAGATTATGAACTTTAAAGGTAGATGGACTGAGGTTTTCTTCCTAGCTCTGTCACTTACAAGGTTTGTGACTTGAAGCAAATGCCCTAGTCTGAGTTTCCACCTTCATTTCCTAAAATCCCATATAACATAGGTAAAGCTTCTGGCACAGGTAGATGGTAACATTAAATAAAGGCAGTTCTGGTTATTACATATTATGCATATGTACTAGTGAACCATAAAATTTTGATGCTTTATCCATTTCAAGTTTAAGGAACAGTGTCATTGGCAGGCCTAAAATTCAGTTTATCTGAAGTCCAGCCCAGGGTTCTTTCTGTTACATCACCAAATCCAGAAGTTACATTTCTAAACATGTATATTTCCATTGTGTTGTCTTATGAGCCTGAGAGTGAAATAACTCACTGCACTCATTGCTATTCATTTTTTACCACTAGAGAAATTGAGGTGCCCCCCAAAATGTCCTAACCTCCCTTTCCTCCCAGATATAGTTTTTCAAGTGAAGATGTGTCCTGAAGAGTAGTGTTATTTATTTATTTTTTGTTTCCAAGCTAGAATCCAAGTAGTCTGCCAACCAAAGTAGTCACCATGCCTCCGCTGACTTGTGAGCATGATCACTGAAGGAGGTCATAGTGTTAACTCTCATCCAAGGGCAGAAGAACATAGAACCTAGGGCTGTACCTGTTCCCCCTGTAGGGAAGACAGATTTGGGACAGTGAAATTGGGGAGGTTTTGCCTTTTACTGCAGCCCTTCCCATTGAGAGTAGCCAGGATTCCTTAATGTTTAGGCTCAGTCAGACTTAATTGAATCTAGTTTATTTACACACCACCTTTTCTTGGAAGATGTACAAACTTTACAATAAACAGATTAAATTAAAAATAGGTGAGGGAATTAGCACAAATGAAAAATAAAACAGGTGAATACAAAATCTACCCTGGGAGTGGCTCTGAGCTTACTAGCTAGCAGTCAACAAATGTTACAGAGCTAGAAGAGCCAGCTCTGTGTGCACATTGTTAATTATTGCCTGTGACTGCTTTTGTGCGACAATGGCAGACTTAAGTAGTCATGTCTGATAGACTTCATTGCCCAGAGCTGAAAGTGTTTACTATCTGGCTGTTTAAGAAAATGTTTGTTGACCCTTGGTATAGTTTCAGTTATACAATTCTCTGTGTCCAGAAGACAAAAAGTGCTGTTCCAGGAAAAGCCCATCCTCTCTATACTAAGGCCAGAGAAGGGTTCAGAAGGTCTCAGAAAGTATTGTGTAATGGTTAGAACAATATCTTTAGTATGACTCTTGACAGATACAGCAGTGTGTTTCATAGGGCTGCTTCATACACAAATCTGTTTAGAAAATAGCTCATTAAATATTAGAATTAAATAAGGTATGGAATGTGAAAACTTGACTGTTTAAGTGGTCCCAAACACAGAGCTCCTTAAATTATTCATGAAGATCCAAAAGTTATTCCCATTATTTCCAAAAGCTGCTTTCCCTTGATACCATGGCATGGGTTTACTCCTGGCTCACACCTAATAAATAAGATATGTTTGGTAAACATGGGCTTTTATAGTCAGGGTTGGGGTGTGAATTAATAGAAGGGATTTTAAGTGAAAGGCTGGCACCCATCAATATAGTCCCTCAGCTTCAGGTCTATCTGTTGCCTACAGGATTCAGCCATAGGATCTCAGCCATCTTAATTGCTGCTTGAATTCCTCCTGTGGCAGTGCCCACTGCCTTTTCACCACCTTGAAGTAGATAGTCATTCCTGAAGTTAAGTTGCAGTCTGGCTCCTCTCTTAGCTTCCACTCTTCACTTTTGGTTCTGTGAAAAGGGTCCTCTCAGATCATAGAACAAATCCAGTCACAAATCCAGTCCTCACTGTAGGCATCCTTTTTCCTATGATGGTACCTGGCAGGTATGAGCATCTCTTCCTGAACCATCTTCCCTTTGTTTTGTGCTGATTACCCGCAAAGGTGTGAAGCAGGCCCTGTGGCTTACCAAGACCAAGTTAGTTGAAGGACTTCCTGAGAAAGTGCTTAGTCTTGCTGATGATCCGAGGAATCACATTGAGAACCAAGATAAGCGTGTTCTGAACATCATCTCTCATGCCCGTCTCTGGCATTCCACTGAGGACATCCCCAAGAGAGAGACCTACTGGTAAGTTTCCCCAAGTAAATGAGATTTCCAAATCATAGATCTTGGAGTCAGCCCATTGCTTTATGTTTCCAAATGTCTCTTCTTTTTTTCCAAGCCCGGTTATCATGGACAGTCTGATACAGCTGTGCAAATCCCAGATTGTCAAGCACCCTTCTCTGGCCAGGCGGATCTGTGCCCAGAACTACTCATTAGCTACCACCTGGAATCGAGGTTGGTCATCATGTACACCAGAAAGCCCTGTTCTTCTTTCTTATCTTCCTGCTTTCAGTCCCACCACCAGTTCACATGCCTTCCACTCTCACCCCTGCCCATGTACCTATCCTCACTACTTCCTGGCCCAGTTTTATAGGTAGGACAATCTTCAGTATCATTTTAACCTCTTCTTTCTAAGACTGTTAATTCAACCATTAAGAGCCAGCCATATCTATTGGGTGCCCACAGTGTGTGTGGGAGTGCCTCAGTGCTGAAAATAAGGAAATAATAAAGCACATTGAGTTTCTGCCCTCACCAAGCTCATATTCTACAGCAACAATCTTCTTACTCCATTCATACTTCTGCACGTGTCCAAATCCATGTTCAATGTGGCTGACAGTGCTAGTCTTTTCTTGTCTCTCCCATGTTTCAAATCCTTTACTGTCTCCCAGTACCTTAAGCCATTTATTGTGGTGTATAAGGCTGGCTGTGATTTGGCCTCCACCAAGTCTTTTTAGTCTTATCTCCTGCTTTACTGCCCCATCTCTGCATCCCTAAGTTAGCCACTTGCAACTTTTTGATGTCAACCTTCCCATCTGCATGCCCTTGCACATTTTGTCTGAAGTGCTCTTTTGTACTTTCTTCACATGACCAAATTCTACTTATCCACAAGGTTCAACTCAAGTCCCTTTCATAAGTCCAGGCTGGTTTAGCTGTTCCTTATGCCATCATAGCACTTAATACACCATATTGTAGACTGTGAACTCCTGATGATAAGGCCAATGTCTTCTTAGTCCTTTGTCCATACTATCTAACACAGTAAGAACTGACTGAAGAGATGGGTGAATGATACAAACTTTTGGGTGTTTTGGGCAGGGATGTCAGAGCGTACAGTTGTTTTAAGTGATGAAATCCCGGGGCAGGGAAACCAGCTGTGGAGTAATTTGGGACTTCAGAACATCTGTTTGGTCAGGTTTCTCCAGCTTTCCCCTTTGCATATGCACTTCCTGGCAAGGAGTCAGCCTTGTAGAGGTAATGGCACCGCTAAGGAAATTAGCGAACCTCATTAATGGAGAGTACTTGTTGGCCCTTCGTCAACTGTTACCTCTAATTAAACTGCCCCATTTGGAGCTGTCACTGCAGGAGGGATGTGGAGGGAATTGAATTAGAAACCACAGTAGAGTGGCCTGTGGGGAGATTCTAAAACCCAAGGTTAGGAGAGGTGCAGGCACATTTATGTTCCTTGCAGATTGTATGTGCAGAAACAGGAAATACTTTAGGAAACTAATCTTGAGCTGCAATTATGTATTTTAACTAATGAATCAGAGTTTATCCATCTGCAGCTGTAGTATCCATTTTGTAGATACCTAGTAAGGGAGGCCATGCACTAATTAAGTGGCGGTGCTGTTGACCACACTGACTTTTAGACTATACGAAAGCCAGCCTTAATCCATTCCCTTTACACCATGAATTGACTATTTCTGAATCCTAAGCACCTGCAAAGGAAGGTTTACCTCCACACAGCCCCCTCAGGAGGCCATCCTCAAGCAGTCTAATAGGCACATTTTGTCTGGCGGTGGCATGTGGCCTCCCATGGGGACACAGAAGGTCATCTGCACACTTCATGGTGGCAGGTTAGTTAGATATGAGTTTGTTTCCTCAGACCACCTACATCTCCATGAAGCAAGTGTACTAATCCAATTTATTTGAGGCTTTGTGACTGGTTCAGCTTTTCTCATTTTAATTTGTTGAGAACAACCTGGCCCTTTGCCTGGGTTTAAGAGTCTCTCCTCAGCCTCTGGTCTCAGTGCTTCTCTCTCTCCATCCCTCCATGTGATGCTGTAGCCATTAGATGTGTTTCTCTATGGAGTCCTACACTCCTGTGCTTTTGCACATGTTATTCCTCCTTACCAGAAAGCTTTTCTTCCCTTGCATATGGACTCCTACCCAGTAGTTTTCAATCAAAGACAACTTTACGCTTTAGGAGACATTTGGCATTAATTTGAACTCAGGGTCTCATGCTTGCTAGGTAGGCACTGTACCATTTGAGCCACTCTGCCAGCCCATTTTTGATTGTCATGGATGCTGAGGATGGATGGAGAGGGACTTCTAGTGGTTGGAGGCCAGTGCTCTTGCTAACTACTCTACATGCTCTGCATGTCTCCCTCATTAAAGAATTACTTGGTCTAAAATGTGAATAGTGCTGAAATCAAGAGACCCTGTTCTTCTCTATCCTTCAGATGCCCAGTTTGAAGGCATTGCTTCTTTTAGGACACTTCCTAGGCCACTGTGTCCCCTAGGCTCTATCTGAACATGGCTCATACTTCTTGCTACAGTACTTACTGCCTGGTGAGCTCCTTGAGCGCAGAGAGTAACTCACTAGTCTCTGGAGCCAGCTTATAACTGATGCTCTGAAAGATTTGAATGGGGCTGACTGAACCCCCAGGATCAGTAGGCCTCAGGGTTTATTAGGAAGGAACACAGGAAGAAAAGTGCACTGGTCCCTCCCCCTCTCAGGGACCCCTGGATTAACATTCTGAAGCCAAATTTTGTACTTTGTGATCAGGCTGGCCATCCAGAAAAGCTGAACTGGACTTCAGGCTCACAGAGATTGAAGGCTTAAGACTTTGCTGAGCTGAGAAAAGGCTTTAGACCAGGTTGGACTAATCATCTTTTTCCCTTTTTAGAGTCTGTTCTCCTTCAGGTCCGTGGTAGTAGTGGCACCCGACTGAATGCTAAGGATCCTCTACCCCCCATTGCCTCCAGAGAGGAGGTTGAAGCTACCAACAATCATGTTCTTGAGACCTTCTATCCTGTATCTCCCACTATTGATCTTCAGCAGTGCAATGTTTATGATGTGAAAAATGATACAGGTAAGAACCAAAGCCTTTTGTTTTAGGCAGCATGGAGATTTTGCTGTTGTTGATGGTAGGACTGGGGTTTGAACTCAGGGCTTTGTGCTTGCAAAGCAGGCTCTCTATTTCTTGAGCCACACTTCCAGTCCATTTTGCTCTGGTTGTCTTGGAGATGGGGTCTCATAAACGATCAGCCGGGGCTGATCTCAAACTACTATCCTACTGATCTTGGCCTGCCAAGTAGCTAGTTGAGCCACTGGGGACCTTTTTTTTTTTTTCTTTTTCATTTTAAAGGAAAAGAATGTACTAAGAGCTACTTAAGTTCTAGGCATCTCACACGCATTATATTCTTAAGACCCATATAGCAGCCTGTGTGACAGGTACTGTCACTGCACTCCAAGAGGTTAAGGATTTGCTCAAAGACTGACTTTGCATTTATCCCCTCTGATATCAGAATTTTTTGGGCGGCTTGTGAGACTTTTGACCAAGGCTTTTCTTTAATCACTGGGTCTCTTGAAAGGCACCCTTTTTCTGTTTTCCTTGTAGACTCTGGCCAGCCTCTTTCAACCTTTCTCTGTGGGTCTTGATTGGGACTCTCCATCTACACTGTATCCAACAATCCACCACATCCAGTCCATGAGCCATGACAAGCGTGACAGTTGGACTAGACTGGCCCTCAATTCCTGCCATGTACTCTGAGTCAAACTATAGTGTGACCTAGGCCCTCACACTACAGCCTAGGTCATTCCTTCCTGGCCTTACCTAATTTGCTGTACCAGTCTTCCAACTGGGCAGTGTGACCCAAACTAGCCAACACTCCCAGAGGATTCCCTCTAAAGTACTAGCTTAATGCCTCCTCCCTCCATGCCATGTCCTACTGCCTGTGGGCAAAGTGGCTCTCCTTGCCTCATTGCTTGACAGCCTTTGTATTTGTCTCTGCCTCTGCCTGTCTACAGCCTCATCTTTGCCCAAAACTCTGACCTGTTTATTCTAACTACACCTAACACCTTGTGCCCTTTCTCACCATCTACTTTGCCCTCCTCTTCCCTCTTTCTGAGCTCATGGCCATTCGTCCCTTCTTATCTGTAGCTTACTAACTCTTCATCTGTCACAGTTTGTCTTAGAATCACTTCCTACCAGAAATGCTGAGATCTGTCTCTTCAGAGGCCTTTCATCTCTCCCCCCGATGGTCCTTGAGTCACCTCAGATTTTGACAAGATCCTGCATCTGGATATGATGAGTTTTCCTGTATCCCCTCTAGATTGTGAGCTCTCCACAGTTAGTGGCAGTCTCTTCTTGGGCTCCATTCTTGCTTCTTATTTTCAAGCTTGGCACTGAGTGTGTGCCAGTGCTAAGTGGTGTGACACACACCACTGAGTGTGGTCCATGTGCTGACTAGCCAAAGGACCAAGGCATGTAGGAAAGCTGTGTCTCTCAACTAGTGTTCTCCTCAGGGGGTTCAGAACCCGAGTTCCCAGCCTCTTTCTCCCTCCTCCTCTTTATCCACAATTCGCTGATCCAGGTCACTCATTCTAGAAGCCCCAGCCTTCAAAACTTAAAATGTTTTGCTATTTGACTCTTCACAGAGAACACTTGCCAACCTGTGATAGATGTTTGCTGTACACTTGTTCTAATTCAGATGACAGTGATGTTAGGAGATGGAAAACCTGAAAGATATATAATAATAAGAAAGCAAATCATTTGCAGAATTCAGAACTTCATATTAGTAACAAATGACTTGCCTCATATCTCACAACTGATCAAAATTTAGCACTCGTGCACCTCAGCTATGACCCTGTGAAATCATGACCCTCTTTTTCGGCATGGCTATGAGTAATCTTTGGTAGTCACAGTATACTGTTGTCTGTGCACTTTAATGAGAAAGGATGGAGTTAGAATGAGCATGCAAGAACCACTTATCACCAGTTAGCAAGCATTTTCTGTGAAGATCCAAATAGTAAACATTTTAGGTTTTGCAGGCTACATGTGTTCTCTGTCTCAGCTGTCCAGTAGAAATACTTAAATGAGGGTGGTTGTCCAGTAGAAGCATTATTTCTGAAAGCAGGCAGCAGACTAGGTATGACTGGGGGACTGAGGTTGCTGCCCTAATCTGCAGGAATAGTGTGCACCTCTGCTGAGTCGCTGTTTTATTGAGGTGAGAAAATGCTCCTGAGGTTCTGTGGTAGGCTGGCTAATCTGTCCCCACTTCCCAATGTGATTGCTTCTCTTGCAGGATTCTGTGAGGGCTATCCTTACCCCTACCCCCACACCCTATATTTCCTGGAGAGAGCCAATATACGGCCACAACGCTTTCACCCAGATCAGCTGCGGGCCAAGATGATCCTGTTTGCTTTTGGCAATGCCCTGGCTCAGGCCCGGCTCCTCTATGGGGTATGTATGTGTAGGAGACCATAGTCTTCTGCCCTAAGAACATTGCTCAGAGTAAGAAGGGTGTGGGGGATTCCATGCTTCACTGAGGGATCTTAGGGAGAAGCGTTTTCACTCACCAAGTGGCAGTGAGCAGACCTACAGTGGGAGCCAGCTGGGCCTGTGCTTTATCCAGATTCAGTAGCCCACCGGTGTCATGGAGCCCCATTTTCCAGGTTATGCCACAGAATCTCAGGGCACTAATTAGTTTGTCCAAAAGGATTTGAATGAGACATACCACACTATGAAGGCTTCAGTTGACCAGGTTCCACACTGTCTTACTCTGCAGGGTCAGAACTGGAGCACAGGGAACCATCAGGAGGTAGAAGGTAGTGAGGCCATGCAGATGGCCCAAACCTGCCACCAGCTCAGGATGGATTCCAAGGACCCAAGATGTCATTTGGTGATAGCCTTTGATCCTTTGAAGAAGTCCCAGGGACCTAGATGGTGTAGAATGGAGGCCGAGTGGTTGCTGCAGCAAGCAGTCCCAAGATGGGTGGAAAGTTTGACTCTGTAGCAAAGGCCTCCAGGGCAGTGAGGGCCAGATGTAAACCCCAAGCAGACCTGTGATATCAGGTCCCTAGTCATGTATGACTTGCTGGGATCTTGGGTCTTGGTGAGAACCTAAGCCCTTCTGGAGGAGTGAGGAAATTCTGATTGCTATTTCCCATTCTACTTGGCTATACACTGGTAGGGTTGGGAAAGTATGGCTAGCACATAGATAGGGAGTGGGATGGACCCTGCCTTATTGAGCACCTGCTACATCCCAGGCATTCATTAGGGCTTTTGGTATCAGTGGTCTCAGAACACAGTTCTGGCTGGTAGCAGGAGCCTCATCTGGGAGTTTGGGGTCAGGGTCCAGCAGTCAGTGTTTCCAAGCCCCCAGGTGATTCTGGTATATGCTTGAGCTTAAAAACCCTAAACTAAAAGTTGAGGACCACTGTATGATGTACTCTTTATAGCAATTCAATGTGGTAGATGCTATTAGCTAACTTTATAGAGAAAGAGACTGAGGCTCAGAGAGGTTAAGGTATCTGCCCAAGATCATGCAGCTAGGAGATTGGGCTGGGGATGTGGCTCAGTGGTAGGGCATCTGATTAGCATGTCTGAGTCCCTGGTTCCATCCCCAGCACAGCAAATACAACAAAAACCAAATCGGAAGGGCTGGTAGAGCGCCTGCCTAGCAAGTGTGAGGCCCAGATTTCAAACCCCAGTACCACAAAACAAAACAGAAAAACAGATTGGCAGCGGTCACATTTTTTAATGTAGCCTTCTTGTATCTTTTCAGTCCTCAGGAGGCTAGCGTTAGTCCCATTCTCTCACTGTATACTTCCCACAGCTAATGTATAGAGAAACAATGATTGGATCCTTGATCTCTCAACTTCAAAGGACGTGCTGCTTTCTAGCTTGGGCATGGGAAGGAAGCAGCCACTTGCCACATCCCAGGTCTGCAGAGTCACTGTAGCCTGTGCCAGCTTTTGCCAGAAGAGCCTAGATAGCAATGCTACCACTAATTGCTACCCAGTTGCGTAGGACAGAGGCCTTCCTAAACCCCTCCAGGTACAAATTATTCCTGGGGATGTGAAGTTGAGCAATTATGGGAAGAGCCTCCATGTAAAAGGTAAAATTGCTGAGAAATTTATGTACTACCTGCAGTTTTATTGATCTGTAGAGAGAGATAAGAGTCAATACAGAATTCTCGGCTAACACTTACAGGTACTTTTCTTTTTATTTATTTCTCATGCAGCTAAGAACAGGTATTTCTAAGGCCAACCGCCCCAGTGTGGCCCACACTGAGGTCTGCCATTAGCTATTCCTAATGTCAGATCATCTCTGTAGGGAGCAAGGCAGCAGCATTTTGCATCAGGGATGCTCTGCTTCATGGCGCCTGCCCATTGGGTCTTTGTCCAATGAGTCTAGTCACCAAATTAGATTGCCGTTAGGTCTCCAGAGGCTGACCATATGATTTATCATCTAGATGGGCACTGTTCAGAATGGAAGAGGTGCTACTGTCAGATCTGTAGAACACCAGATGTAAACCAGAACAGTAGGGTTTTAAGTGATTTAATAGCCTGGTGTTGATCCTGGCTCACACCTCATGAATGATCTTGAACAAATTGTATCGCCTCTCAGAATCTCAGTTTCTTTATTTATTAAAAGGGAATATACCTCTAGATTTGTAAGAGTAGAGGCAAACTTACAGAAAATGGGCAAGATGCCTAGGAGGCCTTCAATAAATACCTTTAGTATAATTACCCTTACCAAGTGGCACTGACGAAACAAGAGTATTAGTAATCGTGCTAACTGGTGAGATCCTGTGTGATGGACACAGTTGGGGTTGACTGTCCAGGAATATGGCCCGTTCTGAGTTGCAGGGACAGCATGAAGCTGAGATGGCTGGCTGCTGTTGTAGATGTGTAGGAAGTATATGGAAATACGCATTGATGTAGGAAGTTATAGTGATGCCAGGCCTCAGGAGCCAGGCAGAAGTGGATAGTGTGTGTGGTCCAGCATGAGCCACTTTGAGTTCCAGTGCCACATATCTTTGTGACTTCAGACAAATCAGTTTGCCTTGCTGAATCTGTTTCCTCCTCTGTCAGATGGAGTGAGAACTGAATGACATTCTATCTATTCACTAACCCTCCAGGTTAGTATTTGATAGCTGATGTTACCATTGTCCCCATCAGATAATGCATGAGTTTTAGTGAGTTCTGTCATTATCCTTCTAGCTTATCTGCCTGAACTTCTGGACTCATCCAGTAATTGCCTCTCAAATTGGAAGAGTGGGTCCCTGGGGTCTCAAGGCATGGAAGCCTAGAAGACCAGGCTGGGTGAGGGAAGGTCTGGCCTGGGCAGTGCCCAAACTCCGCATTCTCTGAACTGCCCCAGGGTGAAGTCATTAAGTGATAGCAGGCAGATTTTAAAGGGCAGAACTGGAAGCTGCCAGTCTGTGCTCTTCCTCAAACCCCACGGTTTCTGATTTGTTTACTTGTGGTCCCCTTTTCCTCTCAGAATACCACCAAAGTCTTGGAGCAGCCCATCGTTGTGCAGAGCGTGGGCACAGATGGACGGGTCTTCCAGTTCCTTGTGTTGCAGTTGAACACCACAGATCTGGTCTCTGATGAGGGCGTCAAGAATTTGGTGTGGGTGGACTCAGACCAGCTCCTCTACCAGCATTTCTGGTGTCGCCCAGTGATCAAAAAGAAGGTGGTGGTGGTAAGTCCAGCAATCTCTAGCCTGATGGTTGGAACAGAGCCTTGACTGGTCCCATCCAGAGTGAGCCTGGGGGCGTGGAGGATGGTCTGAGAGAAGGGCCCTAGCTCTAGGGGCTGCATATCCAGGGTGTCTTCCTGCCCTTCTCTTCATCTCCTGCTTCCCTCAGCACCCAGTTGCACCCAGCAGGCCTGGGACCTTTGTTGATGCTGCTCCTTACTTTAGGGGGCTTCCCTCTCCCTCTCCCTCTCCCATCCACCACTTGTCTTTCTAGGTTTGCTGTGTTTCTTACCTTCCCCAAGCACCACTGTCCCCATTCTGCCTCACTTCAGTGCCTCAGTGGGCTCCAGAGCTGTTTTCCCCCTTTACAGCACAATTACGCTGCTGTGCTATGGGCATCTTTGTACATGTTTTTCTCCTCTGCCAAACTGAGCTTCCAGCTTCTTGAGGGCAGGGTCTGCAGATGCACTCATTTGTGTCATCCACTGATAAAGAATTCCTTTCCAGCATGGTCACTGCTGCACTCACGGTCAGCTAACAGTCCTGCCTGCTCTCTGTGCAGGGGGCAGCAGCAATGTCTAAACCAGTTCATGCTAGAATGCCACGCAGTGACATGCACTCTGAAGAAACAAAGCAGGATGGGGAGGAGAGAGCAGAGCAGGGGTGCAGTCAGATCTATGACTACCTGTGTCCCACACACACCTGAATACAGACTCACCGAGTGGAACTGTGGAGCTGTGGCCATTTTCAACATGTCAGCTCTGATTAGTTCCCAGCATCTATCAGTGTTTCTACTTTGAAGTACCTTCCATGTCTGGGCCCCAGACCCCGTTGTCTCACATACACAGTCACGCCAGTCACCTCCTGTCTCTCTGTTCTTAATCTCATCCCCTTCGAGTCTTCAGATCTTCTTCCTACCAGAATATGAACTCAGTGCCAGTCCCATTGGTTTGGTCAGATGGCTCCTACTCACCTCTCCAGCTCCTGGTTTTCTACCCCACCAACATGGCCCTTGCCATTCCCACCTTCATTTGTACCCCTGTGACATTGCATATGCTGCTCTCTCTGAAGAGAGAGCATGGTCTAGCATGTAAGAAAGTCAGTGATGTAGTCATATCCCCCTTGCTCTCTTAGCATCTCTTAGGAGAAGTATTGCAGTGAGGTCTGTCACCTTTTATTGTCATGACTATAAGCTCCTTGGGCCCAGAAACAAGATTATGTCACTCTTGGGTCTCTAGCACTGAGTTCAGGCCCAGAACAGCAAAGGCAGTCTCCTTATAAATGGGTCTGGAATGAGTAAGGGTTTATTGTCCCTCAGATTAAAGGGGGCCACCAGCCTTTTGTTCCTGGTGGTTGAAGTGGGAGGAATTAGAGAGGAGGGCAGTGTCAAACAGATAATTTGGCTGATTGTTACCAGGAACGCTTTCTGTCATCTGCTCCTCCCAACTGCAGCCCCTCATATACTTCCCTTTTCAGTGCCAGTTCCTCAGAGTCCTTGGTCCATGAGAGAGGTGATGTGGAAGTTAAACAGTGATTATCCGGGCACTGATGATTTACATAAGACCGACCTTTGTTTTAATTGCTGCCATTAAACCTAGTAGCAGGATCCTAATGGGCTGTGTTCTTTCCAGGAACCTGTTGGGCCGATTGGTTTCCAGCCAGAGACGTTCAGGAAGTTTTTAGCTCTGTATTTGCATGGTGCAGTGTAAACCAAGAATGTTCTGTGGCCTGATGCCCCCTGGCCCTTTGAAGAGCCTTCATCCTGGGCAGGCAGTGTCCAGGATCTGGCTGGAGCCTCCACACTTGCTTGGTCTGGTCATCTTGCTAGTTAGTAATAAAGAGCCCTTTTGTTGCCTTGGAACCTGTGTTGGTGTGAGGGTACTGTCAGAAGAGGTACCTCTGTCACATGTGGGCCACACTGTGTGCTTTGTCATCGTCCCTATATCCCCACCCCCTGGCAAGTGGAGGCCCTGCCTCAGCATAAGATCAGCTCTGCCCTGGACCCATGTTTGGACCTTGGACCTTTGATAAGTGTCTTTCAGTTTCTTCATCTGGAACTTGGGGCTAGCATGATTTCCATTAGTTTTTGAGACAGTGTCTTACTATCACAGGAAGCCTGGAATTTGCTATGTAGCCCAGACTGGCCTGAGACTAATGATTCTCTAGCTGGAATTACAGAGTGCTGGAATTACAGGCATGTACTACTATATCTGACTCCTTCCTTCTTTTGAGGATTCTAGACCATTTGTCTATTGTACCAGCCTCATGGCAGGTGCTATAAGTGGTCACTGGGTTCTCAGCCTAAATCACACACACCTTCCACAATGCCTGCAGAGAATTTGAATAAAATATTCTCTAGATTTCCCTAGTTTCCTGGTTAGTGGGCCTGGTTGACTAGTTTCCTGAGTCAGCTAGCCTTTATTTGTCCAAGTAATGCCAAGTCCTACTTGACACTGTCACTATGCCAGGTACCACGCACCCAACATTTTGTTTAATCGTCACTCAGACCCTACAGGGTAAATGTCATCTCCATATTCAAAGAAAAATACTGTGTGACTAGTATGTACAAAGCACTGTTCTCAGCCTAAAATGAAAAAATAGGCAATGTCAGGAGTGTGCTCAAAGTCCCAAGGTATCTATGGGTTAGCTTCCCAGGACACCTCTGGAGACAAATGTGTGAATGTGAAGCTTCAGGCCTGGCACCTGTGGGGATTATAGGGCCACACTGGAAGTCAAAGGACTGAGTGTCCCACCTGTGATTATACCTGAGGCCTCAGCCAGGTCCACAGGGTCCTGTTTCCAGAGTTGCCTCACCTTGATGCAAGGGGTTGAGTCTCCTACAGACACACTGGTCACAATGTACATGTGTAAGCCAGGTGCCAGTGGCTTACACCTGTCATCCTAGCTACTCAGGAGGCAGAGATCAGGATTGTGGTTTGAAGCCAGCCTGGGTGGGCAAATAGTTCGAGAGACCCTATCTTGAAAATACCCAACACAAAACAGGGCAGGTGGAGTGGCTCAAGTGTAGGTCCTGAGTTCAAACCTCAGTACCACAAAAAGAAATAATGTACACACGCAATAAGCATGCATCTGTTTTACCCAACTTAGTGTTGTCCTTAGAGCCTGTCCCACACTTGCTTCACCTTAAGTCTTGGGATGGCAGGATCTTGCCACGTCAGCACATAGGATCTACCTGTTCTTTCATGTGGCCGCATTAATGTCTGCTGATTGACAGTGAGTTGTTTCCCGTTGGTTATTACAAAGAATGCTGCAGTGGACATCCTTGTTCATGTATCTTAGACTGCTTTTGCCAGTGTAGCTATCAGGTAAATTCTTGGCAGTGGAATTGCTCAAAGGATTTTTTAAAAGAACATGCAGAGGACCAGCTGTGGTAGTCCTTAGGCAGGTGGAGGTGATGACTTGAAGCCCTCCAACAGCCTGAACCCCTTGGGAACTGGTTGCCTGGGGAGTGAGAGGGTGAGGTGAACTTGGCCCTGAGAGAGGCCCAGAGGTTCAGAGTCAGCACAGTTAGCACATGACCTTGCAGCTTGAAGCTGTCCTGGATGGGGCCAGTATTGCAGGGCGGCCGGCAGCCTGCACTTCTTGTGGCCCCTTAACGGGGACAGTCATGCCTACCAGCCCTGCTGCTATGATGTGTGGTCTGGAGCACCTGCACTCAGTGCACAGGGCAGCTGATCTGCACTGTGGCGCAGGAGGTATGGCAGGTGTCATTCTCACACAGATTGAGAAACAGTCCTAGAGACCTTACGATGTAGCGTAGAGATCTGGAAAATTCATATGTAGTAACAGCTGCCCCTCCACAGGTGTACTCCCTTCCCCATTCCTCCTGGGATAATGTCAAGCCCATGTGGCTTTAGAGCCTGGGGGTAGGTGCTCAACCAGCTAAGCCCTGGGGGGAAGGAAGCAGAAGCACTATGGGCAGAGGGGAGGGGAAGTGTGTAGGGTTACACTTGATATGGAAAGCCCTCTATGGGAACCTCTAAACATAGACTTCTGGGACTAAAGTGACACTTCCATTGTGAACGTGGATGTGAACATATTTTTCATTGTGTCAGAGATTTAAGTGCCCGGTTGATCCATTAGAAAGCTCAGTTCATTTTCAGCAGACTTCAGGGGCATGGAAATTTTGAGTTTGGCTTGGGGGAGGCCATTTCTAAGATCCTCCTGTATCTAGCCATCCACACATCTTCAGCTTTCTCTGCAAAGTGGGGACAAAGGGCCTCCTGCCACATTTGGATCAAGTAGGCTGCATTTAACTAGATGGCTTTGCTTAGATGGGTTTGGAGTTTTTAAAAACCCCATGACAGGTGGGCTTGCTTTGAGGGCTCACTTTAGGCTGCGTTCTGTCTTTTCCCAAGGCTGGCTTAAGGAGACCCTGAATGGGTGTTTGACAGAGGCTCTGAGACTAGCTTGTGAGGCTCTGTCCCTCACTCACTGTAGGCCCAAGCTTGGGAAGGAGCCTGGAAGATCAGCTCAGACTGTGGATAGCATCTCCCTGGTCCTTCTTGTAGCAAATGAGTCCCATGAAGCATTTGTGGGACCTGAGTGTCTCAGACAGTGTTCCTTTAATATGAATATTGAATCTCTGTAACCTACAAGGTCTGCCTATGTGGCTACTGGGAGATCACCCTGGTACAGGGACCCTCTCCCCAGACTTATCTGGGCACCTCCAGAGATGTGCATTTGCTGCCAGTCATTCCTGGTGCCTTCTCACCTTGATAACAACTTGGCCACTTGATTCACTCATCCTGTGTGGGAAGAGACAGTAGTGCCAAGACACATGTGTCACAGTGATAGAAGTGGGAAGCAGGGCATTTGAGATGGGTTCCCTGCACACAGACTCTGATGTAGAGTTGGGGCTGCTCCTCGGAGACAACCTGTGAGGAAGCCAGAAGGGCATGATGTAAGGGAGGAGCTTGGACCTCTGCTATTCCTATAGAGGACTTTGGAACCAGGATGGCACTTCAACAAGGCAAGGTGGTGGGGCCTTGGTTTACATCAGCTGCTGTCCTGTAGGAAGTAAAACCTCGAGAGAGGCAGCCTCCAGGAGTGACACCCTTCTGGGCAGCTAGCAGCTGTGGAACAGGGGTGCCAGCCCTTCCTTCCCAGGGCCAGGGGTTCTTAGATAACTGAAGTCCAGGAAGGCTTTTGTGAGATAGTGCCATTTGGACAGAGACCTGGACAGAGGGTAGGAGCAGGCCAGGAAGATACCTGGGGATGTGTGGCAAGTCAGAGGCCGCAGGGCCTCTGAGAAGAGCATGTTTACCTTTCCTTCTTCCCCTGACCTGAGATCCCAGGAATCAACATCCATCAAACATTTATCCACTTTTCCCTAGCTGGCTTACTCCCAGTGCTGGGGAGGTCACTCTCTTTAAGTGTCCTCCTGTGGCAGGAAGATTGTCATCCTGCTGCTTCAACTTCAGGGCCCCAACTCTACCTTTTGGGGCCAACCAGCGGGGCACACTAAAGAGATTGGTGGCTGGGGATTGTGTGCTCAGGCAGCCAATGTCTGCCTTTCTCCAACCCCATCCCACCTCTCAGTCCACAGCTCACCTCAGCCACGTGCCCCAGAGCCCCCCACAGCATGGCCAGGGCACTGGCTTCTTCAGCTGGACATGAGTAGGGCAGGTGGAGCAAGGCTAGCTCCTCCCATTCTGGCCTTGGTTGTTGCCACCTGAGACTCTCTGTCCCATGTTGGACACCTCAGGTCACATTCCTGCAGACCCAAAGCCTACATCCATGGATAGTCCTGCTGCCCAGGGTAGAACTTCCTTAGAGTTCAGCCTGTCTGTGGAGAGCAACATGGTCCTTCCCCAACACATGCACGCACACACACTCCTCCATACACACACACACACACACAAAATGTGGCCCCTCTCAACACACACACACACACACACACGTCTCCTAATTCAATGAGAGAGCCCAAAAATAGATGAGGAGTAAGGAATGAACTCAGAGGTTCCCCACTATAGACCTCTGGGACAGTCCAACCATTCAGCCCATTTTAGAAGTACCTACTGTGTGCCACGTGTTAGGCTGGGATTGGAGGTACAGAATGAGACAGACACTGTCCCTGCCTCTAGGAGCTCCCACTCTGCCTGGTGGACACTGATAGCAGCTAGTTTCCTTTGCACCTGCAGTAGCAGGTACCCACTCATGAAGGCCCCTATGCCTAGGTGGCAGATGCCCTGAGCACATTCCGGGTGTGGCTACGTAGCCTCCAATTACTCCAGGAACACTCACTGGGCACTGCGGGGAGTCCAGTCTGCTGGTTCTGGGGACAAAGATGACTCAGACATGGCCCCTAGCATAGAGGAGGCAGGCCCAGAACCATGCAGCAAGGAACCCTGGGGACCCAAGCAGCTGCCCCAGCCTAAGAGTTTCCTGATGGAGAGGCTGAGTTAGGTTCCATGGGGGCAAAGTAGGAAGGTATGCCAAGAGGAGGGCAGAGAGAGAACCAAGGCCCTGGGTGGGCAAAATTCAGAGCATTAAAGGCAAGAAGAGGCAGAAGAGCCTGTGGAGGCCAGCCTGCAGGGTCTGCAGGACTCGTGGATTCTGCCCCACAATGCCCCATAGCCCAGGGCACCACGTCTTCACTTGGCCCTGGGGTGCATTGCTTTCCTTCCTTCCTCTGCTCCTAGTTTGCCAGTCTCCTGTTTCTCAGGTTTCTGATTACTGAGAGCCCCAGGGCCCCTGTCCTGGGCACTACTCCATTCACTCCACAGATGATCTCAGCCTCTCGTGCCATCAGTGCTATCCATATGTCATCTACTCCCTGTCTCCAGCCCAGACCTGCCTACCTACATAATTTATCACCTCAATTTCACTTGCCCAAGCAGCTCTCCCTGCCTCCAGCCCCACCTCTGTGGAGGGCAGTGCCATCATTCCAGGTCTGCCTTGCTCCACAGTAAGAGGTGCTCAGTAAACACATGCTGTAAGAAGAGTTTGCTTTAAGAGTTTGCGGAGGTTCAGAAGTGAGATCTTTGGGGCACTGGAAGGGCAGAGATGGAGGCAGGGAACGGAGGAGGCAGCTGAGTGTCCAGTCTACAGCTGTCAGAGACAGGTTCCACAGCGTCCTGGGAGTGGACAGAACGAAGTGCGAGCACGGAGAAGAATGGACTTCTATTTTTCAGAACCATCCTGTCTGGCCCGGTTTCCTTCCCTGCCCAGCTCCTACAGCTAAGCTATGGGAACTCCCACAGGTCCAACGCCACTTGACTCAGGGTTAGAGCCGTCATGGAGGCCCTGGGGATGCCAGGGTTCAACTTCCTGCGGTCTGGAACTTTGGAGCAGTTCTCCCTGCTCCTCCATGGTGGAAGAGGCTGTGGTGGGGTTCCTCAGGTCAGTGAAGTCCTGTTCTTGTGTGTCTGACCATGGCAGTTTGCCTGAGGCTTTTTTCCCAGCCACGGGGTGCTTTTAGGAAGGGTGAAGGGCCATGGGTCTCCAGCCAGGCCAGCCTTTCCTGTTTCTGGTTCCCAGGCTGGCTGTCGCCCTCAAGTTGGGTGCCATTTGGACAGTGTGGACTAGCAGGAAAGGAGCTGTCATGCTGGGGCCCTGGCTCTAGAAGTTCAAGGACTGGCTCCTTCACTTATGCCTGTTTTAGATGAACTAAAACCCTCCTCTGATGGGCCTCCTTCAAACTCCTCCCTCTACTCAGTGTAGAGTTCCAGCCTGGCCCTCATCTTTTGGGTCAGGCCTGTGAGGGTTATTGATGAACAGTTCAGTGAGAACCAGTCATTCTCTCAAAGGCCTGGCCCTGGGGTATGCCAGCCTGAAGCAATCCTCACCAGGACCATCTGTGCTGGGAAGGAAACGGGTGGGGGGGACTGCTTTGGGGCCCAGACTGGAGTGGTGGGGAAGAGTGCCCAGTGTTGTTACCTTCCTGGCAGGGATCTCCTTCCGGGGCCCTGTCACCTGGTTTCCCCTCCTGCCCAGCACCTCCTCCATAGTGCCTGGGCAGAGCTCTTGTTCCAGGGAGCACAGGTGACGGCAAGGGTATGAATATGCATCCCATCGCCACCACTGAATGCACAGGTTGGATGCGCAAAGCCAGAGGGCAGACACCTACCTCTTCAGAGCTGCCAGTTAGGCCCATCAACCCAAGTCCCCCCCCAGCCCCAAACCATCCAGTAGGGATAATTCCCCAATAGCTGCAAAATGTCTGTGCTCAGAAAAAGCCCAGGAAACCTGTTCCACAGTGGGTAGGGGCCTTTTGGGCCCTCCCCAAATATGAGTAACAATATTGCTAGTGGCTAACATACGTTGCTCTTACTATATGCCTACAGTTGAAAGCACTTCCCATTAACTTACCCTCACAACCCCACGAGGTGGGAAGATCGTTACCCTCATTTCATAGACAAGGCAACTGAGGACAGAGGTAAGAACTAACCTGCCCATGGCCACACAGCAACTAGTGGCAAAGGTAAGATTCAAGTTTGGCAATTTGCAATCTGGTCTCTAGATTCTCATACACGTGAACTAAGCCTACACTGTGCTCTGGCTCTGCAGGCAGCCCCCACCCCCACCCCCCTTCCAGGCTTCAACTGAGATGCCCCAGGGGCTCCAGCTCTGCTTCCTCTACAAATCAGTGCCACCCTGTCCCCTGCCTCTCCCCTCACCTGTACCCTCAGCATTTCTTGCCTACATGATATGAGCTGGGAAAGGCTCATCCCACATCCTATTTAGTCTCACCTGGTAATTTCTCTAAAATTACTAAAAAACTACTCAAAATTCTTGTAGAGCTCCCCATTGCCTTGGTTAAGAAAAAAAAAAAAATTACTGTCCCAGTGGCCCAGCACCTAAGGACCCTCATGTCAATCCTAACTGTCCGACGCTCCTGGTGGTCTAGTGGTTAGGATTCGGCGCTCTCAATCCTAACTGTCCAAGACACACTAGGCACTTGGGTATGGAGGCAGTCTGTCTGCTTAAGGGAGAAGGCAGGGTGTGGCTGTAGTTACAGGGTCACCTAAGCCGTATGACCTCTTAGAAAACACAGGGCTCCAGGACCCTTAACTCTACTTCCAGACGCATACGGACTTTGCAGCAAACTAAATGTATTTGAAAGACACTGAAACCGGCTCTCCACAAGCCCCCAGATACTTGAAGTGAGACTCATGCCCTCCCTTCCCACCTCCTTCAGAGGCTACTGCACAAAAGGCACAGCAGACATGCCTGGGAAAAGAAGGTAGGTGCTGCAAACACCAGGCGATCTCATCAGGTGCCAGGTGCAAAAACTGCCCAATGAGTCACCGTGCATTTTGTAATCAGTGTAATAAACTCCAACCCACGTTTCCCCAAATATGTCAGGAAGGGCTGCGGAAAAAAGATGTCCCTTTAATAAAACGTTATCAACATATATCGTACACAAACTACAATGTATCATAATTACTTTTTTTTTTCCTCTCGTAATTCAGAACCAGACTACAAGGTAAGAAAAAACACAGAAACAGCTACAATGTTCCCAATAATCGGCACAAGGTCTTTTTTCAGGCAGATGGTATCTCACATAATATGATATACATGGGTCAGAAAGGGGAGGTAATAAAACAAAGACCAGCTACAGGGGAGGGCAGGGCAGAGAAGGGAGTGTAAATGTACAAAGAATTCAGTGTCTTCCAGGGCAAGACACAAAGGTTTTGATGAGGGTGAGGTGAGGGAGGCCATGAGTCATCCCCTCCTAGGAGGGGACAGGCTCCACCCACTGGGTTCGTTGGCTTTTAAAAATGAAACTAGGGCCGGAAACAGCAAGTCTGTTGGGTTGCTGGTGCTCCCCCCACCCCCCACAGCTATGCCAAAGTCTTTCCATCCAGTTCCAAGCATATACAGAGCAATTCTGGTCAATATCCCGATGTCTTTGAAAAAGGGCAAAGAGAAAAAATAAAAACAAAAAACTGCAGCCTGCCTTGCCCCGCACATGACGATGATGATGATGCGAGGATCCCGGGACAGAATGTGGAGGTCACAGTTGCCATGTCCCAGGTCACAGTCATCCTATGGGTGGCAGGCAGAGCTCTCGCTGGGAAGCCAGGTGGGGATGAGGGGCTGACGAGGCAGGGAGGCCGGGTGGGTAGGGAGGTCCAGGAGAGGAGCAAGCCGTCCTGGGGACACAGTGCATGCGCAGGGTCACAGCGACGGTCTCTGGCCCCTCTGGCCACATGAGAGGGGGAGGCTGGGGGTCCAGGTGTGCTGCTGTTGCCACCAAGCCAAAACAAAGCAGGTCCCCACCTCTCCCTTGCCCATAGGACAAACCCAAAACCCAGAGTGGAAAAGGGTGACTTCCTTTCCTTCCTTTTCAAAATCAGCTTTTTGAAAGAAACCACCAATTGTAAACTGTCCAGTTTATTATTTTTAGATGGCTACAAAGACAGTGTGACATTGCACACCTAGACTAGCTTTCCTGGTGGATCGGCTTGGGGACAGACAGTAAGATTTGTTTTTGTTTTTTTTTTTTTGCCTTTTTTTCTTCCTGTTTTTTTAAATTTTTTTTTTTAAGAAGAAAACAGAGGTTGATTGGGGTGGGATTGGAGGGCTTGCTAGAAGCTTCCGTTTAAAAAAAATTTCCCCCTAATGCCCCCCGAAAACAAAACAAAACAAAAATCCCAGCAATGGTAAATCCCCAAAGAAAAAGAAAAAGAACACAAAAAAAAAAAAAAGTAATGTACAGAAAAGGTCCTTTCAGGAAAGGGCAAGGGGTGGGATTTTTCTGGTCATTAACTTGAAATATATTTTTATTTTGACTTTTTTCCTTCATGTTTTATGGAATAAAAAGTTCAGCCTTTTTATTGCATGAAACTAAAATTGGGAAAGGTGGGGGAGTGAATGGGAGGTGAGAGGGGAGCGGGAGATGCCCTCCCCCAGCTCCTGGTAACACCTCACTTCTTCTTGCATAATTTCTGGCACCTTCCACCTGCAATGCCGGCTCTCAGCGTCTCGGAGAGGGGGGATCACACACTCATCGTCATGCTTGGAGAATACTGCAGGCAGAAGCAGAGGAGGGATGGTTGTAAGGATGCGCTGAAGCGCCAACAGCCTGAAAATTTGGTGACACACAACTGGACAGGGCCAGGATGGGGGTGTGGCTTGGCTGGCCTGGGGGCCACAACTGTGCTCAATGGGCAGAAAGCTGGTGGGGCCAGGATTAGGGCAAGGAGGCAGGAGGTAAGGGCCACCTCCCGGCCAGCCTGTGCTTCACAGGAACTATGGCAGTAGATGTGGCATCCAGTCCTTTTGAGTCCCCACTCCGGGAAGCTTAGACAGCAGGAACGGGGTTTGTTAAATCAGGACGCCCTGAGCTGGGGCCAGTCTGGGGTTCTCCAACGCTGCTTTTTTAAATAAGAATATGCAGAGAAGCCTGCTATAGGCAGGGGATGGCTGGGCTATCCCCTCTGAAAATCCCTGGTTGTGCAAACCTTCCCTAGGATAGATGGAAATGGACCCCACAGGCAATGCGGCTCAGCTCTCAGCCCAGGGCTTCTCCAGCCATTTTGCTCACTAGTGCCAGAGATGTCCAGCCTGCAGGTGGCCCCCTTCAGAAAGGCCTGCCGGCAGCCAGACTAGGAGCAGTGGTCAGGGTGTTGCACTTGTGTGGAAAATGACTGAGGTAAAAAGGCCACAGAATGGCTGCAGGCCACCAGCTTAGTAGGTAGGCCTGCTCGGTTCCCAGGCCCTATGTTTAGAGCAGGACCCAGGTACGGGAGAAGTGGGCAGGCCTTACATTGTCGTTCTGGAAGGAGTGGAGGAAGTTCCCTCCTAGCTCGCCGTCATCTCGAGGGGTGCCTGGAGGGTTGCTAATGCCACTTATGTTGTTAGGAGAATTCTGTGGAAAGAGGAGAGGAGGTGAGCCTGTGTCTCCAACCACCAACCCTTCGAATGTACTGCCAGGAAGTAGATCACACACTCACTTTTGGAAGTCCATCTATGTCGCCCGACCCTGGAAGGAAAGAAAAATGTAATTCAGTTTCTTGTTCACTCTCCCTGGAAGGTCTCCAGCCTCTAAGAAGGATCCTCTTCTACCCGGGCTTCCACCAAACCCCCACACTGTGTCTGTACAGAGAATTTTCTGTCTGGACATCTTTCTCTGAGGAGCTTCTGATGTAGCCAAAACTAAGGCTGTGTACCAGGCCTAGTTGGTCCAGAGACTGAGGCAGAGAACAGGTGGCCAGGGCAGGGTTGAGCATGACGGTGCCGACTTACCTAAGGATCCATTCATGTGGTGTGGCTCCATGCCGCCCATGCCTCCCATTGGACCATCCGAGCCAGGACCCATTGGGAACTGAGGGAGAAGCACAGTACATGGCTCAGCAGGTGCAGGAGGCCTTCTGTATCCCTCTCATGGCTCCCATGCCCAGTGACTTAGTCAAAGAGACTAACCTAGCACCTTCAAGGGTACAGGCCCTGAGCCACAGCTGCCCCCTAGGAGTCCTGCTCATGCAACTGCATTCTGGTGCATTATCCTTGCGCCTGCCCAGGTGCTGGATGCCTGGATGGCTAGAGCAGGCTCCTAGGAACCAGGCAAAGGAACAAATCCAGAGAAGGAAACAACTGGCCAAAGGCCACCCAGCTCCATGAAAAGGCAGCTGTCAATCTGAGTTTTCCAGTCCTTCTCAGGACTTGTGCCATACCTGCAGAGTGCCTGGCTTAGCAGGTGCACCTGCATAGACAGGTGTTTGTGACCATGCTAGTCTTTTTGCTAGCCTTTTCCAAGCTCCATCTCAGACATGAGGACATCCCTGTGGGGGCAGCAGCAGGAAGACCAGGCAGTGCAGGGGTCACTCGTGAACCTTTCATGAAGTGATGGTGCAGGCAGATCTGGGCCCAGAGGGGGAATCCATCCTACCCCCATCTCAGAAAGGACGCAAATGAACACCAGACAGGTTACCTCCCACTGCCACAAATGAACGGCTAGAGAGAGCTGGCCGAGCCCAGTCCGGAAAGCCAAGGCCCTTGATACAGAATGAATGGCAGCATGGACAGCCAGGGCAGAGAAGAGTGCGCAGGGAGTAAAGTTGGGACCAGACACAGGGTGGGGTGGGGTTGGGCAGGAGTCGCTCTCCCACGTGCCATCCTGGGCTGCAATATCTTTGTCTCCCCTGTGGCTCTTGCTCACAGGCTACACAGTACTTGTGCTACCTGGCAGCTAATTTCTTGCTTAGGGTGACCAACTTTTAAGGGAGCCTGGAACCCGGGACACAGCCTTACTAGACCAAAACCATCTCCATTATGTTAGCATAATGTTTGTTCATATACACGTGTTATTACTTTGACATAAATACATGTCATTACTTTAACATAAAAAAATCAGACATTTTCATTAATTTTTTGGGGGGACACGGAATTAGAACTTGAACTCAGGGCTTCACACTTGCAAAGCAGGCGCTCTACTGCTTAAGCCATGCTTCCAGTCCATTTTGCTTTGGTTATTTTGGAGATGGGGGTCTTTGTGAACTATTTGTCTGGGCAGCCTCAAACCTTGATCCTCCCAACCTCAGCCTCCCAAGTAGTTAGATTACAGGTGCAAGCAACCTGTGCCTGGAAGAAGTTACAATTTTTGTGTATTATTTTAAGAGATTTATTAATATATAATTCACATACCATACAAGTGACCCTGTTAAAGTATGTAATTCAGTGGTCTTTAGTGTACTTACAGGGTTAGACAACCATCAGCACAATCAATTTTAGAATATTTCCATCAACCCCCCAAAAGAAACCTTGTACCCACTAAACAGCCATTCCTCATTCCCTTCTGACCCCCAGCCTCAGGCAACCATTATTAATCTACTTCCTGTCTCTAGATTTGTCTATTCTGGACATTATATAAAAATGAAACCAAGTGACCTTTGTGGCTTTTTTCATTTTGCCTATTTTCAGGGTGCATCCGTGTTGCTGCACACACCAGTACTTAAGTCACCTCTTTTATGGACAAAAGTCCACTGTATGGATACACCACATTTTACTTATGTGCTCATCAGCTGACGGTTCGTTCAGATGTTTCCACATTTGGCCCGGTGACTAATGCTACTGTGTCTGTTTGCGTACAACTTACTGCGTGGGCATGCACTGCACTTCTCTCAGGTAGATACATAGGAAGTGTCACTGCTGGGTCCTGTGGTAATTTTATGTTTGACCTTTCTTAGAACCGCCAGATTGTTTTCCACAGTGGCCCTGCCATTTCACATTCCCACCGGCAGTGTATGAGGGCTTCAGTTTCTCCACATTTTCCCTGGCCCCAGTCATTGTCTGTCTTTTTGACCACAGGATCCTAGTGGATATGAAGTGCTGTCTCCCTGTGTTTTGTAATAACTAAACTTACTGGGCATTTGTACGTCTCTGGGGAAACATCTATTCAGATCCCTGTCCCATTTTTTAATTGGGTTTTCTTTTATGATTAAATTCTAAGAGGTTTTTTTTTTAATCTATTTTGGATTCAATTCCTTATCAGATATGATTTCCAAATATTTTCTCCATGGTGTGGATTCTGTTCAACTTACTTTTTTTTTTTTTTTTTCGATCACCCATTGCTATGCTGCCCAGATTGGCCTTGAACTCCTGAGCTCAGCAATCCTCCTGGCTCAGCATCCAGAATAGCTGAGGTACATGCCAATGTGCCCTGCTTAGCTTTCTTGATGGTGTCCTTTAAAGCACAAAAAATCCAATTTATCTATCTTTTTAACCCCTTCCCTTTTGCTTGTGTTGTATCTAAGTAGGTTTGATTTCTTCTGAGTGTTTTATACTTTTGGCTCTGACATTCAGGTATATGATCTACTTTGAGCCAGTTCTTGCGTAGTGGTGTAAGGAAGTAGTCCAAACTCAGTTGTGTGCTGTGGATAGCTAGTTGTCCCAGCATGACTTCTTTAGTCTGTATTATTTACTTTTCTGTTACATAAATGCTGGTATTTAAACAAAATAATAACAGAAGTAGTTAACAGCAGCAATCAAGCACGCTAGTTAAATTATAACTATAATGTTTCTGTCCTCTCATACAGTAATGTAACTTCTTTTTGCCCCTGATCCAGCAGGATATTTTTTCCTCTGCCTCCTTTCCCAATGCGTGAAGTACCTACAGCCATGAGGACATTCTTTTTTTAATGCAGTGGTAAAACTAAATCTTAAACATAAAACTCACCTGACTTGTCTCTGTCTTGTCCAGCCTGCATGACACAGATGCCTGTGTCAGTTCAACAGAACACCAAATGACCCTCTCCACAAACCCATTCACACTGCAGCACTTAGAACTTCACTTATGACACAGGCTTGAGGACTTGTAGGAATTACTTCCGGCACCCCAAGAGGTGCATCTACTGGTGTCTACAGTTGGCTTGGACCAACTGATCCAATTGCAAATGCTACCAATTGATCATGGATGTCAAGATCAATTAAACTTATTCTTTTTCTCAGGAAAAAGGTATTAAGGTACACAGCTAATGTGAACTTGTAAGATCCAAGCTGGATTTCAAATAAGTTCCAGTTTTAATAAAGAAACTGAGAAAGTCCTGTTTAACTTGGCTGCCCTTTTTCCTGACATTTTTTGAGTTCTCAACAGTCTCATTTCCAAAAAAATGAGTCATTATTTCTGTGGTATGAGGTTTTGCTGCAACCTCCATGAGACTGAACAATTCAGGTGTGGTTGGCTCACCCCCTCTGGGCTCTCTGTGGCCTCTTTAAAGATGATCACATGGTCTTGGAGAAAGAGTGTACACTTTCTCTTTTATTGTAATTCCTTTTCCCATTCTAACCTCAATAGATTTCCAGATTAAGAGATGGACATCTTTCTTGTCTCATACTTCAAAAAATATGAGTCTTCCTGGCAGAACAACATTGTAACATCTTTTCTATGGCAAGCAACTACGGTAATCATCTTGTGGGCACGTGTTTTAGTAATTCTCTATTTGTATAAAGTCAAACATCTCATTAAGTTCTTCTGCATGCTTTGCAGAATTTGCAAAGTGACCTAAACTTTCATTGTGAAAAACCGGTGTCACAGGTAGGCAAATTACACCCTTTGTGGCAGTGTTGGGTGCAAGGTTTACAGGACATTCAGCAAGTAAGATGTTTTCATTTTTGTTGGTAAGAAGTTTATAGAGTAAATGAAATTTGCCAAAATTAATGGTGAAGTGTTTGCCACCTATGCAGATAAATGAGCAAAGTCTAGTTTGTATTTGGATAAGACAACAGTTTAAAATCTTCATAGAAACCAAGACCGTTTACAACTCTAGTTCTCAAATTAACGAACACAAGACCTAGTAAGAACTTGTTTCTAGGGACCAAAACCAGGACTTCATGAATGCCAGGCAGGTGCTCAAACACTGAGCTACACCCTTAGCCCACCATGAACTCACTGCCAGAATGTGAGGCATCACTTGACCGGCCATGGTGCTGGTAAGGTCAGACAGAAGCAGCTCTACTAGAGAGTGGGGAGGGGCACTGACACCATCTACTTTCAACCCCTCTCCCTCCTGTTCCACCACAGGACTTTTAGTTGCAACCTCTGAAACAATAAAGGGAACCTTCTTGGTTCATGGCATACCAGGCTACAAGATGACAAAGGTGCTCAAGCCACATCAAGCCCAGGCTCATGTGGGGACTGCCACTTGTGACTGAGGATCAGTCTCTTTGGTGGCTTTTGATTCAGAAGGGTGTGTCCATGTCATCCCACACTTGGGAGGTGTAGTCTCCACAGTACTTTCATATCCCCTCTGCCACACCTGCTCCCAAGGTCCCATCTGCATGCTGTGCAGCATGTCCTCTTCTGCCCTAACCCAGCTGTGTGTGTCCTTCCACCTGTCACTAAAATAACATGGTTATTTAGCAGTCTGTTTTGGTGATGTCTGGGTCATGCTGGTGCCGGCCCTGTCATCATTCTCATTTTTATGATGTCAACTCTCAGGAACAATACTAGCAATGTGCTAGGAACTGGTGCCTTTAGGACAGTGCAAGCCAAGTCACAACTGCAGTGTCCTTAGTCAGGAGAAACACAGTGACAGTGACTGTGGGAAGCAGAGGAGCTAAGCCATGTCCATCAGACTTAACAGTGTGCTCCAGCCTGTCTTTTGGTCTGTCTTCTGCATTCATCACCAAAACCAGGAGATGTTGAGCTCTGGGGTTTCTCATGATGCACAACTTTTAGCACTAAAACCACCACAACTGGTTGCCCTAGGGAGGAGGTCGTGTGAGGCTGGGCTGGTGGGACAGAGAAGGGTACGGAACAGAGGGCTTCCCACACTGGTCACATGGCTCCTGACCTTGGAGGGCTGCTAGGAAGATTAAATGTGTTCAGTGTCAGGGCTGAGGTGCAGCTCAGTGGCACATCATGTGCTTAGCATGTGCGAGATCCTAGGTTCATTCCCTAGCACCACACACAAACAAAAATGTGTACAGTATCCAGCATGGGGCAAACCATACACAGGGTTTAAACACATGGGGTGACTGGGGTATCACCTCAGGAACTGGGCCAACAAACCAAGAGAACATCTCCCAAAACCCTACCTCCCTCAACCAGGCTGAAGACAGCTTTGGGGCTCCAGTCCCCAAGTCCATGTTTTGACCTCCATTCATCTCCCTGCCTGCAGAGGGAGGCAATGGACCAGCATGCATGAGTGGTCTGTGGTGAGCCACACCAGCAGAGCTGGAGCTCCCAGCTGGGCAAGGGAGGCAGGCAGCAGTTGCATAAGTTGTGTTCAGTGGGCTCAAGGTAGGTGGGAATCCGAACAGGTAGGGTTTGAACTGCAACGTCTTTTAAAGTTTGGAACTTTAAGAGGAAGGAAGGAGGGAGAAACCACCAGGCACAGGGGTCACAGAGCTCAGGGCAGTCACAGGAGGTAGATGGGTTCCCAGATGAGTCACATACCCTGCTGCGGTCTCCACCCTTAGCTTCACAGCCCAGGAAATCGGTGCAAGAGGAAGGGAAGGCTTGCCAGAGGTGTCACAGCTAGTCAGCTGAGCAGTGCCCAGTGCCTTCACACTGACCAGAGCCATCCTACCCTGTTCTTGCCAGCTATAAAATGGGAACTGAGTTGCCCAAGAGTTAATCACTTTTCTGATGGTCTATGTTATTCATCTTTGGTAACAAATGGCTGAAATCAATTAGACTTGCTTTCTCCTCACCTGATGAAGTTAATTATGATTTGTTATGGTATCTGGTATGTAAATGAGTAGAAAGCAGACTTACGTTGGACCGGCTGCCTCCAGGCGGCACGGGATTAATCATTGTGTAGATGTTGTCGCTGGAATTTGTTGAATCTGTGGAACAGTGGAAAGCCGCAAGTTGAGGTGATTAATTCATTTCTTAATTAAAACAAACTCGTGGCACTTGAACTCATTCTTTTGTATTTTATCACCTAAAATTTCCTCTAAGTACCACTATTTTCTGGCTAATTTGTATTTAATGAAGATTCACAAAGTTTTTAATCACAGAAAATTCAACTGTGAAAATCACTCAACCACGAAACAAAGAGTTTCAGGGCAGCAGTGCGGATATGGCACAGGGGGAGCACAAGTTCATTCTTGTCTCCCCACCTATGGGACAGCATGGGGGCAGCGAGAATGATCCCAGGCTGGCCCACAGCCCCACCCAGGGGCTTTCATCAAATCAGGGTAAGGGAAACACTGCAAATTACCCAGTGGCCATCCTGCCAAGCTGAGGGGGCAGGAGGCGGGCAGGGAATGGGGCTGGAGCACATTAACATACGGAGTGGGTTAATGTGACCCAGTGTGAATGTAGGTCATGCAGCTCATCAAAATGCAGCCGTGAAGGAGGGAGCCGAGTGGGAGCAGTGTATCATGGCCACTGGCAGCTCCACCCCTGCAGCTGAGCAGCTTCCCTGTATGGGGGTTGGCAGGGGCCTCTGTCTCCCTGCTTAGCCACAAGTCTCCTTAGGAAATCAGCTAACACATCTCTATCAGGAGTGGGCGCTGTATTTCTTGGGCAGAAATCCTAGCTACCTCTTTCTTATTATTTTGGGGGCAGCAGGGACTGTATGCCAGGCTAAGCTGGTAAAGACACACACTCACTCACTCTCTCTTTCTCTCTCTCTCTTCTTTTGATTAAAGAAAGAGGGAGAAGGATTTCCAACCCCCAGAGGACCAAAGCCTGGAGTTCTGGAAACTCAAACCCTTTTGAGTTTCAGGCCTCAGAATCCTGGTCCCAAGATGCCAGAGTCCCAAAGCCTGCTTTGGAGTCATCCAAGGCAGTGCCTATGCAAGACAGGGTTCTCCATTGTTGTTCCTTACAAGAGGGAGCAGAGGGCAACAGGACCCCTTGTTCCCAGACCTCTCTGCTCAGCATGGTTCTTCACAAAGCAGTGGCTAAGAATCAGAGAGGTGCGACCTGCCACACAGTAGGATGGGTGGTATCACAGGCTTACAGTCCCCTGTAAGACATCACAGTGCCTGGTTGCTGGAAGCTGCACTCTGCACCTGAGCCCTCAGGGACACCCCTCCCCACTGCAGGGCTCCCTTTTCCTTTCCCCTCAGGCCTTCTTACCTGCAGGACTAGGCATGATGGGTGTTCCTGGAGGGCCGCCACCACCAGGGGGTCCCTGAGATGAGATAAAAACTGTCATCAGTTGCACACAGTGATAACAGGAGTGGGGAGGCCACTGTGTTTCCTCCCAGTGCCTGGGACAGCCTGGAATATGTCTCCTGTTGAACCTCTAGTGCACTCTCAGAGCCGGAATGTGTAAGCCCAAGGGGAGTGACTTCCCTTTCTCTTAAGCTAAGAGGCATCTGTGGCAGGTGTGTGCATACATGTGCTTATATGCATGCCAAATGGTGAAAGCCGGCTGGACAGCCCCCCAGAAGGAGCCCCCTTCCAGGTTCAGGCTTGTACAAATGCCTGAACACTTGACAGCAAGCCCTAGAAGTTTGGAACCAGTGCTCAGCACCCACGTGTTTTGATACAGAATGAAACAGAACCCCAAGTTATCTCCTGACACGCAGTCACACGCACTAGACAGGCAATGCCCACGGCCACACTTACCACGTAGGTACCAGGTGATGAGGAGGAGTATGGGATCTGGAAACAAGATAAGGGGAGTCATGTGTTGGGAGTCACCTCCCCTAAGACAAGGCCCCTTTGCTTCCAAACCCACTTGGAGACACCCCCACTCTTCTGAAGAAAGGATTGGGGACCCAGTAAGCAAGCTCCCAATCAGTTTTCCTAGGATGTCGCTGATGTAAGCAAAGCCCCATTCTCACTGCCACACTAAAGTGGTCCCAGGAGGCTGGTCTCCTTTCCCTTCTTGAGAGAGAGGCTGGGGATGGGGAATCTAGGAAACCTCCTGTATGGGAGGAGGGGAGAATGCTCTGGTCCCCTCCACAGTCAATCTGCACCAAGCCCCTTACCACTCCAGCCCTGCTGAGAGGAGATGAGAAAAACTTCCTCTTTGAACTATGTGCCTGGAACCCATGCTTTCAGCCTAGCCTGGAAGCTTCTGCAGGGGGCTATGTGACCATAGCACAATGCTCCCAGGCCTCCTATCTGTGTTTTCCTCCTTAGAGTCATCAGGTGAAATCCTACTGCATTTCTTCCTCCCTGACCCCTCCACCTGAGGACAGAAGCCACCCTGCACCCAGAACCTCTTGGCTACCAATGACCCACTGGACCTGGATACTCACTGAGTTAGCACTGTTGGGATTGGGCCAGGGTCTGCCAGCTCCCGGGCCCCTGAGAGAGGGAGAGATGGAGATAATGAAAATGGTGTGATACTCTAAAGGGTGGAACCAGCAGGGCAGAACGAGCAGACTGACATCAGTAACAGGAAGCCCTTCAGACTGTCCTAGGCGCTCAGGGGTCACTTGGCTCTAAGGTAGTAATGGGTAGTTCCATGGGTGGAAATCTATGAACCCCTTTAAAGTATATGTAAAATTAGTACATTACATGGCATTTATAAAATCACACATTAAAGTTCCTCTGCATATACATTTTCTCAGGAAGGTAGTCCACAGATTCTCCCAAAAGGTTAAAAAGCACTGAGGCACTAGACAACAGTGGCTATTTGCATAGGGATTTAAATCTGGACTCAGCCAGTGAAAGCTGTGCGAGCCTGAGCAAGTCACTTTCCCTCTGGGCCTCAAGGACCTCATCCTAAGTGGGGAATTGTAACAGCTGCCTAAGGAGTGAGCATGAAGATGAGGTGAGCTACTCCCTGTGTGCCGGCGCACACAGCACACTTAAGGCTGAGCTCTCAACCCCAGGTCATCAACACTCTTATCATACTATGAGGAAACAGGTCCAGAGAGGCAGCAGGAACGAGAGTGGGGAAGCCAGGGCTCTGAGCCGCTGGCGGGGCCTTTTCGCCTTACATGTTAATCCCGGGCATGGCGGGGCCGAGGGAGTTGGGTGGTGGTCTCATGCCGCTGCCGTAATTCTGCAACGATAACCAAGGGTCAGTCTATGAGAAGGAGAAGGGGAACCGGAGAGAGAAGGAGGGAGGGAAGACAAACACAACATAAACGAGAGGGTTAGTCTGTGAAGAGGACCTGATGAGAAAAAATTATACATTCTTTCAGAAAAGGTGGGGCAGGGTGGGGGACCAAGTGACAGAGACCACAATGACAAGCCAGCACAGAGGGACAGTCACAACGGTCAATGCATTTTCAGGGGCATCAAAATTTTCTCAAAAACATGCGTCTGTCAAGCAAGCCACTAGCTGGCACCTTCCCCATAGGCCTCAGGCAGGTGAAGGGATGAACACATCCACAGCACTGACTGGCGACAAGAAAGCCTCTGAAGGAGATGAGCAGGGGGCTCATGCCGCAGTGCCTCCATGAGCCTTCCCCACCCACCCTTGGGCTACTGCTCCATTCTACCTACTCCCAGGATGCCTAGAGTCTTCATTCCCATCATGGCCACACAACCACTGCCACCCCTCTTGCTGAATTCCAGTGTGCCTTCTCCAGGCAAGTACAGCGTCTTAGTGCCTCCCACCCTGGCCGGCACAGAAGTGATCACTAAAGGAGTGAACGCAGGGGGAGTGAACTGTGGCCCCACTGCAGCCTGAGCTGTGCCCCTGCAGGGGCATCTGGACACAGCGGGCAAAGGAGGGGCAGGCACAAGCTCCCGTTAGTGAGAATGTAAGACACTTTATTCAGTCTGTTTTCTCCTTATAACCCAAGGCTGGTCAATTCCCATTTTACAGAAGTGGAGACTGAAGGTCTGAGGAGAAAGCTTTGCCTTACATCACAGTCAGCAAATGTCAGAGTTTGTTTCAACCTGGCCCTGCATTCTTAGCACAGCTTTGGTGGGAAGGGGGCTGAGCAGGAGGGCAGAGCTTGGAGTGGCTGAACTCTGAGGCAACATCAGGCTAATGATGAGGGATGACGTTCTGGAAACTGCCTCTCAAATCTCACTGCCGGAGAGGCCCCGGCTCTTGTTTGGTCTAGAAGAATGCCCAGATGGGATGCAATGATGGCAGGAGCAACACCAGGCTGGCTAGAAGGAACAAGATCTAGAGGCAGGGAGGGCAAGCAACAGCCAAATTCAAAGCCTCGCTCTCCTGTGCTTGCTCAAGGTGGGCCTTGGAGCCAGGCCCACTTTACAGACGCCTCAGGTAGTGAGCAGAGCCTGAGACTTGAGGTCAGCACTTAGGAGAGTTGGTCTCAGCTTGGCCACTTGCTGGTGCCTTTGGCAAACTATACAAACAAGGACAATTCTTACCCTGTGCCACGTGATTTATGTGCACACCTATATTTAAAAGTCATGGCAACACCCCTGCTACCACACTGAAGCATAGCAATGGCCTAGCTGTAAAGCTATGCATAGCTATGCTGGGATGAGGCCCCAGAGCCTGGGTCTGATGGTGCTGCCTTATCTGTAAGATAGGGACCAAGAGCCTTACAGAGCCCCATGTGGATGGTGCAGGGCTGATTCTGAAGTATTCAGGGGGCTACAGGTGTGGCTCAAGTGGTACAGAACCTGCCTAGCAAGAGTGAAACCGAGTTCAAACTCCAGAACTGCCAAAAAAAAAGAGCAAGTGCTCCATGAGCCAAGGAGGTGCATGCTGATTAAGAACAGCAGCAGCAGCAGACTCACCGTGGCCCTTACTGCTGCTGTGGCAAGGCATCCCAGAGCACTGGGCTCAGGCCCTTTCTAGTCTCCCACACTACCCCTTCGTAAACCCAGCCCGACCCACACAGGAAGCTCACCACGGGCAGCCCACTGCACGCTGTACAGCTGGCCCATGTGAAAGGTCTTCCAAGTAGGGTGAGACCTCCTCCAGGGGCTGTGGAAGCAAGCTGCCCCTCTCCTGGCCAGGGGAAAGGCCCACACCTCAGGGCGAGGGGCCCCCAGGACACTGCTAAAGCAGAGTGGGGTGAGAGAAGAGGTCAAGCAGGTGCTCACTTTCAAGCAGGTGCTCACTTTAGAGAAACAGCAAGATATGGTGGTGTGAGGCTCCTGGCTGGGAGCTCCAGCCAGGGACATCCTGCTGCCCCCAACCCTACAACCTATCCAGCCTGCAGGAACCTCTCACAGGGTCAACAAGGCAGCTCCCCACACAGGGCTGCCCCAAGTTCCCCACCTACAGATGCAGATCTTTCCACTTTTCAGATGACAACTTGGAGCCCCAGAGACCTGCCCAAGTCATCTGAAGTCAGAGTAAACGGCAGGATGAAATCAGGACCCCCTACCCTTTTGGCCTTAGCCCTGTGCCTTGCTGGGTCCATGGTGACACAGGAAGGCACTGGGCAGGGTTAGGGCCTGCAGATGAGGGCTGCTGCTGCTGCCTCTGTGGCCTCCTCAGGGTTCTCAGTGTTTCCTATGGCCTGTCCAGTGCTGCCTTTACCTTAAAACAGGAAGAGTCATCAGTCATTAGGCTCACCTGTCAAGATGACCTGAGGCAGTCCAAGCAGTTTTCTGCTTCTCTCTAATTGTGGGGACCTGGCCATCTCACACTGGGAGGTTCCTCAGGGCTCCACTCTGTCCTCACCCATCCACAGGTGCTCTGTGCCAGGATTAATGACTCACCCACCTCTTTCTGTGGCCTCTGCTCAGACACTAAGCTTGGACTGGCCCTGGGTTGGCAGGGCCCCAGGAGATAATGGTTTCTCCAAGTGGCACAAGGTGGTTCCTGAGACTCATGGATTGTCCTTCATAGGAACTTTTTCAAACACCGCAAAACCAGGATGGTGATTTGAATCCAGTCCCAGCCCCAACAGAAGAACCACTGAGGCAGTGGGGGAGAATCAGCTTCCACAGGGTGTGTAATAGGGTCTTACCACCATACCTGAGGGTGGCCAGCAGCCCTGGAGTTTTAGCCTTATCTCAGAGAATTCACTTTCCAAACACTTGGACCAAGGTCACTGCTGATGCTGACGGTCACCACTCTTGGAGAGAGACCTGGACCAAGTTCTAGTGTTGCCTTCTTTTTCCCTGATCATCTCCCAACCCCAGAGGGAAACCCATCTGATGTCCTGGGAACAAAGGGCAGGGTAATGCCTGGACTGCTGGCTCCTTTGGGATGTTTGGGCTGAAACATGACACAGCTTACAAGCTTGGATGTCACTCTACTTGATTTTGAAACCTATAAAGAAGCCTCACGATAATACTGCACGTTTTTGTTCAGAAACCTCTGGAGGAGTCACTGGCTAAACACACACTGGTAGTGTCCACCTTTACGTCTGGTTGCAGCACAGCACTGTGTATGCAGTGGTGTTTACTATAGGCTCCTTGAGGGACTGGATGCCCTTTCTAACGGAGGCATAAGGCAGAACACAGGTCTAGCAGGAAGGGGACAGAATCCACAAGACAACGTGTGGGTGTTCACAGTCATGGTCATCTCACTCCTTTCCTACTACTAGCCTCATGAGGTTGTCACCTGGTCTCCTATTTTGCAAACGAGAGACAAGAGGCTCAGCTTGGCTGCACTGCCGTCAGAACCAAACTCTGTTTCCCAGTACCAAGTTCCGACCTCGCTTCTCTTCTGTCCACTGGGAGAGCCCAGGCAGCAGCCCTCTACAGACAGAAACTGGGTGTTGTTGGCTAATGCCTGTTATCCTAGCCACTTGGGAGACTGAGATTGGAAGGTTCAAGGACAGCCTGGAGAAACAGTTTGAGAGATCTCATCTCAAAACAACCAGAGCAAAATGGACTGGAGGCATGGCTCAAGCTCGAGTGCTTGCTTTACAAGTGCAAAGCCCTGAGCTCAAACCCCAGTACCACCACCAAAAAAAAAAAAAAAAAAAAAAAAGGAAAGCAGACAAAGAAAAGAAAGGGGAAATGGAGAGGGTCTGCCCTCTTCCATTCCCAGCTTTGGGGTCCAAAGCTTTGTTTCTGCTGTGCCCCAAGATGCCCACTCCCCAGCTCTCCCCAGACCCTGCCCAGGTCCAGAACTACACCAATGTCAGGCCTTCCTGCCCCCAGTGATGGGCTGGTACAGACAATCTGGGGCTGTTTGAGGAAAGTTTTGGAATTTAATACTGTACCCCACCCAGAGAGGTATAGGAGATACAGGCAAAGTACTTTAGGGTTTCCATGTTGATAAAGTACAGTAAGAGGCAGAAGGAATGTTTTCAGATCCCCTGAGGTTGGTAGGGATGCATCAGTGGGTACTTTCCTCCCTCTGGGAATGCCCCACACTTTCATATGTTAAGTGAGGCCAGAAAAACCTCCTGGGCCCAGGAGACCTTTTCAGCAAGACCTTGGCCTCCAGGACTCTTGCCTCTTTGTAATGTGCTAAAAGCAGTGTCTTGGACTGACCCAATGAGACACCCCTACGCCAGGAGGAAATCCTTAATTTCCTGAACATTCTGGTCTCAGGCATGCTGATAACATTCATTGCTGGCTTCTAGAACCTCAATTTTATTATAGCTCTACAAATGACCCCCTCACCTCCACCCCGGGCTGGGGATGCCTTAGGCATGCTAGGCAAGCACTTTTAACACTGAGCCGTATGTGCAGGCTCTCAATCTTACTATAGGCTTGAGAAAGTACTAATGACTCTGTGTGGGGGGTGGGGGTGGGGGGGAGGAGAAGAACCTAATAGCAATCACCAAACCCAAACAACTACAGTCCTGAACATTGGTTTCAAGTCCTCAAAGTTGGAAAGCACCAACTGGGGGCTACCAGGGTGCAGGGCACCACATCAAGAACTTGACCTTCTTCCTTTCAACAACACCCTGTGGGCAAGTGCTATGCTTGCTCTATCTCACAGATGCAGCTGCTGAAGCTGAGTGTCTCAGAAGGCAGGGGCAGGGGACAGGGGTGGGGGCCTCAGATCCTGCCCTCCCACATCATGCTGAAGGTCCAAGCCCCCTGCCGACTTCTTTCCAACAGCAGCTGCCATGCAGCTCAGGCCAAGGGAACTGAGAGCCACTTCTAATTCCAGACAGGGATGCTTTGCTTTCAGATCCTGCACTCTGTCATCTCCCACGGACAGCCAGGCAGGAAGGGGCCTGGGAGGAGCTGGTAAGAACATGAACTTTGGGGGATTGGGAGAATAAAACAGCACTGGAGCAGCAATCACTGTGGCTTGTTTCCTTTTAGGTTTATGGGGCCAGAAGACAAGGACCTCCCTAAAACCTTTCACACCACCAAGAAAGCAGTGGACTTGTTTGTTGTAGGGATCCTCTGATGGAGCAGAGGCTCCTGTGTCTGTGAGGCAGACTCCTCCCTACAAAAGGGAGCACAAGTGTACATGAATGCTGCCATTCCACCTCAGGGAAGCCAGAAACCTGTGGAGAGGGCCCAGAGAATCTCCATCATCTTCAGGCAAGGCAGGGAGAGACAGGCAAGACTTCCAAGCAGGGTAGAAAAGAAGGGAAGGAATACTCTAGACCAGAAGCCTCCCACTCTCACTATGTGAAACCGCTCTCCTGACTCGACTTGTAGTTTCCTTTAGAAAGTCAGGTTCTAGAGAGTTCCCGGTGAAGGCAAAACGTAGCAAACTCCGCTACATTCAAATACTCAGAGGAGGGGCAACTGTGAGAAAATCAAGAGCAGGAATTTCCATCAGATCCTTGTGCAGAGGTTTGGGTTGTCTTACTGAAACTGTACATGGGGTACTTGAAACAATCTCTTCCAAAGGTCTCTAAGCTGCCCTTTTTGGTCAAAAGAATCTGGGCAGAAGTCTGGTGTATGAAGCTGGCTGAGGTCTTGGGGTAAAGGTGGGTGCTAGATTCCCTGGTAACTAGCCGCCCCTCACCCAGAGAGCATGGATATAGACCCACCCCTCATTTGACAGGTGGAAAACTGAAGCCTACTGGGTTTCCAGACAGATCAAGGTGATTCATCCAAGGACAGATGATGGTGAGTGGCAGGCAGAACTAGGACTGTTTGTTACCCACTTACCCTGTCTCTGGGTCACAACACTCTGTGACCCTTGAGCCAGCTCAGGTCTGCCCCAGAAGTGGCTTTGAATTCTTGGAGCCTCCCACCATGGCTCACGGCATCAGACCCTTTGCCTTTCAAGTTTTTCAAGCCACATGCCAGGACACCCACCCCTGAAGGATCTGGCAACTAATCAGTTCCCTGGATGTACACCCCCCACCACCAGGTTCCCTGGGGTGCCTCAGCCTTGTCTGCTCACTGCAGATGGGAGGGGAGCTGGGGATCTGGATGGTGCTTTCACCCTAGGGAGTCAGAGACTTGAAAGACTGACAGACCATGGAAAGAGGAGAGGAGGCAGGTGCACACAGATGGTGGGGGAGATGGATGGACAGACAGATGACTTGTTACCTGTGGGCCAGGCCCCATGGGCCCCATGCCTCGGGGAGGGTTCATTCTCTGCATCGATCCTCCCATGTTGGGATGGCCTGTGTGAGAGAGGAGATCAGGAGTAGAGCTAGGAGGAGCCCTCCAAATGCCAGGCCATCCAGCCCGCCCTCTCTACCTTGTTGTCGTGTGGGATCCATGGAATTGGGCAGCAATGGCTGTGTCCCGGGAACTCCTCCCGGAGGCTGAAAGAGACGGAAGACTCAAACTGAGCAGCTGCTCCTGGACCTGGTGGGTGGAGGGAGGTGCACCTGCCTGCCCCATCCAGTGCCCCTCTGGCTGTCAGGGCTATTTCAAGGCCTCCCCAAGACCACAGCTGCTGCCTGCTGGCTAGAGATGAGCACCCCCTCCCCCCGCACTCCAGCATAGGGCAGTCAGCTCCTGCAGGTGTGAGTTAAAACTGTAGCCAAGGGATGGGGCAGGGGAAGGGGAAAGAGTGGTAGAGAAGAACCATCACCCTGCCTGGTTGCCCAGACCTGAGGACTGCAGAACCAAAACAAGGCGACAGCATTCACCAGGTCATGCTCTGGTTGATCTGGGCAAAACCCACTTGAACTCAGGCAATGCAGTTTAAGCCCAACCCCATCTTCCTTTTGCCTTCCAGAGACATTAACTCATTTTATTTCCACCTCCAAATCAGGGCGACTGAGTGACTCACTGCTAGAAAACCCTATCATCATGGAAAGCCTTCCAAAGGGGAGCAAGGTAAGGAGGCCTTTGAGACTCAGGTGTCCAAGAGTCTTTAGTCAGAAGCCTTCCAGCTTCCCATCTGTTCCCAACCAGGGGTGCCAAGGTAGTCACTAGCAGGGGAGGAGGACTGAAGGACATCTCAATCTTTATGACTGCAGCAGCAGCAGCTGTTGTGTAACTGCTGTCAAGGTGGGATGGGGGCCTCAGGCTCCTGGGAGAACACTTGGCATGTGCTGTGAAAGCCTGTTGAAAGTGATTTACTTGGGACTAAAGTCACTTCAGTGTATCTTCAAAAAAAAGAGAAGCTAGCAAAGTGTGCTTCTAGGATCCCATCCCTTAGGACCAGCACAAACTCTTGCTTTCAGGAGGAAAAGCCGTTGGTGACAGCTGGCTGTGGCTGTCCCCAGCTGCAGGCACCAGAGCTTGTGGATGTAGACCCATGACAGGGAAGCTCTTCTGCCTTAGGTCAGCAGTGAGCTCCAAGCAGGGTCAAACAAGCCCACTTACTGACCTTTACGACTTCCTTTGCTTCAAAGCAGAAGGCTGTGGCTGAGGAGGGAAGCTTGCAAAGGAACACCAGCCCTCTAGCAAAGCTCACAAAGTGGCTTTGGCACCTGCTGTTTCTGCTGCCTGGGGGAGCTTAGGCTCTGTCTTTACACACTGGGCTTTACCTGTCCTGGCCTCCTGGTTCCTCCCCTCAAGTTCCTAAGCTCTCTCCATCATTTGGTTGTTCTGTAGCTGGCCCCTGGGGCCAGGTGTTTTATGGAGCCTGATTATAGGACTCCCAGAGGACCCAGAAGGCTGCCTCTGAGGTGGTCTGAATTGGGGAAGCCCAGGAGATTGAGGTGGAGGGGGACTTTGTGGGACCTGAGTTATCCAAGATGGAGCAGTGTGGGGCTGGCAGTCACTCCCTCTCCAGGCAGCTCTTGCTGACCCCCAGATCTTACAGACAGCTCTTCCTTGGCTTCTAAACCTGCTTGGTGCCAGTACTCTAGGAGCAGAGGGGCCTGGGAGTTGTGGCCCTAATTGGGGTGATTCTGAGACAGGGACAGAACAGTCTGGTACCTTCTTTATCAGGGAAAGAAGGGGTGCAAGGACCAAGGAGAACAGGTCTCACACTGAGAAATGCTGAAGCCCTCAAACCTAAGAAGAAACAATGGCTGGTGGATGGGGCTGTCATCTTGCTCTTCACACCCCTTGAGAACCTCTAGGGGAAAGAGATGCTCTGGGGCTGTCACATGGGCTACTGGAAATGGGCCAGCTCTCCTATAGCCGTGGAGGCACAGGAAGCATCTGTCCAGGAAATGGGCAAATGCCAGCTGCCCTGCATCTCACACCTGCCTTGCCAAACACAACAGCTGGGCCAGGTGGGAGCTCTGCAAGATGTGTATAGGTGGGTATCTGACAGCCCCGAATTCCAGCCCCTGCTTTCCTGAACCCAGCTGAGCCCCACTGGTCACCACACACCCAACCACTCTTGCTGAAAGACTGCAGCACTCTACATATAGCCCTAAAGCTCCAGCCATGGAGGCAGGTGGGAGGCTGGTCTTGCAAAGCTTTAAGACAAAGACAAGGACATTGGCTTTCCCAGAAGGCATGTGTAATGGGCGCATGAGCCTAAGCACATCCTCCCTTGCCTCTGTTTCTTCCACCTATCGCAAGACAGGGTTGAGCTAACTCAGGTGGCCCCAACGGAGACCTTTTCCATGAGCCCTCCAGGGACAAGTCCCTCCATAAAGGACAAAAATTTCTGGAGTCCACAGGAAAATGGAAAAATCCTTTTCCTTATAAGTTGTGGCTGATGGATTTATTCTTCAAGTGCTATCTCAGATACCTACTTTGCTGTCCACACTTACTTGCTGAATACTGAATAGGAACACATTTGTGAGCTCTTTGTGCTCCTCAATCACTGGAGAAAGGGCTACATTTACTGCCAGGAAGTACCGAATCTCTCCCTAGGGTGGTAGCCAGTTTGGGACAAGGACAACCTCCAAGTGGGCAAGAGGGAAAGTGCCTTCTGGGGCCTTACATGCACTGGCAAAGGAGCCTACTTGGTAAGGGTGAAAACCAAGGTGGGACAGGGACGTTCAACAAGGAATGCTCAGCAAATGGGCAGGGACTGCCCTGTGAGTCACCACGAGACCTGAAAGTCATGCTTCCACTCTGATCTGCTGCTGCCTCGTTGGTGACAGAGCTAGGATGCTCTTCTTGCTCAAAACCTGGGTCTCTAACTCCTCTTGTCCAAATGTGTCCCCTTCATGTTCAGAGAAAACAGGAAACAGAACTTGGGGACAGAAAATATAAGGGTGGAATTCTGACAGGCAATTTCCCATTAAAACCAAAGGCCCCTCCCTGCCTGTGAGCATCTTTCCACAGTCCCTTAATCATCTTACTCAGGGACTTTCTTGCAGAGCCTCAGGAGCTGAGAAAGAATCCCACTTAGGTAACACCAATCTAGTTGGCGACTAAACTCCCAACTCCCAAGGGCAACAAGGGCTGGGTGTGCTGGCACTGCTGTCAGATTTTTTGCAAGGCTTTTGCCTGAAAGAATTCCTATTTAAAAGGAATCTCCTTGATGTTTAAGGCTGCTCTTGTCTGTCTGTCTGTCCTCAGAAGAGGTGTGTATTCATCAGTACCAATCCAGCCCCCTCCCACCAGATGGGTCAAACCACCTAAAACTGCTAACCCTTCATGGGCGAGAAGAAGGCATGCAACCCCAGGTTGAAAAGCTCTCTTCATAAGCGGACCACTTTTCTAATTACGTAAACAAACCCTTCCTTGTTGTAAGCTGGGTCTAGGAAGCAGGCAGACTACTGAAAAACTCATGGACACCCTGCTCTGCTGTAGCCAGGCTCCTGATCTAGGCATTCCTATGGACCACTGCTCCCCTAAGAGCAGGATTAGATTTACCAGTCTTGGCAATTCTCAAACACTTCCAGTAAAAAACGCACAATGTCAGTTAATTTTCAAGGAGGAAGACCTTCCAAGAAAGGGCTCGAAGGGAGGGGCAGGGGCTTCACCATCACCTCTTTAAGAGTCAAGTCCCTGAAAGCCCATTCAGGCTGTTGCTGATGCTGTCCTCTCAATCCCAAAATAGGTTGCCTGAGGTCCCTCATGACAGGCAGGTCAAACACTGAACCATGAGCTCAGAGAAGACCTTGCTGGTAAACTACCCCCACCTTAAAAGCTGTCCCTCTATCCCCCAATCCTGCCCCACAATTTTGATTTGAGCCAGAGTTTGCCTAGGGCCAAAGCGTCTGAGTGAGGGGAGAGAGAACATGAAAAGGTACAGTACCTGGTTTCCCATTCTGATCGGGGGCCTGGGGCCGCCTGCGTATCGCGGTGACATAAAAGGCTGCAATTACAGGGAATCAGTTCAATGACAGCCTGTGCTACTGTACAGCAACAAACACTCCACCAAGTCCAGTTTGTTATGACTAGTGATCTTTTAAGCTTCTTTTCTCCCAATGGCCTCTCTCCTCCAGGTAAAACTTCCCAGGGGCAGAGGGAACAACAGACCCCCAACACCCATGTGTCTCCAGTGCCACAATGGTTTGCAGAGTTACTTTGGATGGAGGGGCGGTGGCTGGGATTTGCACAGGATGCAGAAGAACAGGTAACTCAACGCAGGGCGAAGGAGGACACCTGTGCTCTCAGTGAGGGTAAATAAAAGCACAAGGAAAAGGACCTGTTCATCATGTTTCAGGGTTTGCAGACAGAGTAGACACGTGCACACGTGCGCACGCACACACACACACACGTGCACACACAGAGAAACCACCAACAGAGAGGAGTGGGAGGGGAGCAAGGATTTAAAGGGAAAGCACAAAGGAGAAGAGGACAGAGGGCTCCCTAACTTAGTGCAGGGGAATGGGCGAGAAAGCTTTCTCAGCAGCGAGAGTGCACAACGAAAAGGCTAGGGATGCAGCCTCAGTTACAAATGAATGGCTAACCAAACTCAAAAACCAAACCAAAAGTGAGAGAGGAAAAAACAAAAACGCAAAGGCCGCTGACAAGGTCACAGAAGCATTTTTTCTTTTCTCTTATTTTCATATCCAAGTTGGGTGTGATATCCAAGGGATGACTATCTTTTGAAAAAAAAAATTTTTTTTAAATTAAACTTGTCAATAAGGACCGGAAGGCAATGGCTGGAGCACACTTTGATCTTTCTTTCTCCTCTGTGGGCTCTCCTTCCTCCTGCCCCGGGCCCCGGCCAGCGCTGGGCAAGCCACAGTGCGTTTACCTGACTGTGGGGTCCCATCATGCTGCTGGGGGTGTGAGGTGGAGGCTGTGCGTGCGGCGAGGGCTGTGACCCCGGAGGACCCTGTGAGGCCAGACAGTAGAGGCAGGTTACAGATCACAGCACACGGAGAAGCGCAGAAGCTTAAAAGAACAAAAATTAAACCAAAACGCAGGGTGGCGGCAGGCGTGCGGGTGGTGGGCTCTGGCTGGCAGGAGGTGGAGCAGCTGCTTAGGTCCTGGTTCAATGGTGTACAACGGCGGGCGGGGAGGAGGGAGGCTGGTCAGTACATTCACAGGGGATTCGGAAGAACGAAAAATAAAACGAAGCACCTTCATCAAAGCACACAGGAGTATGGTCTGGACACAGCCTACCATCTGAACAGAGTTTGCCATGTTAAATACGTTGGTTGAGACAAACTAGAGAGGGCAGTGATGCAAAGACAGGGCACCCGAAGCCACCCAGGCCCAAATGCAAAACCTGTAAGTGCCACTCTCAGGAGACGTGAGAAGAATCAGGTAAGGTCCCTGACCCCGAGGAGCTCATAGTTTCAGGGACAGAAATAAACTGGGTAACTCAAGGTAGAATTCATCAAGGGTTGGTGACAGGCAGGGCCAGTGGGTCTATTGGGGGTGAGGAGAAGGGACACTGACAGATGAGAAGATGAGAGGCAGAGGAGCAGGAACAGGGTAGTGCTAGTCTAAGCCATAGGTGAATGCAAGGAAGAGACAGCTGCTGAGTATCACTTGGTACAGACAGGACCAGGCTCTGCAGCTCACAAATTCACCTACATTGCAAACTAGCCCTGTAAGGTGGGAGGTCTCTTGTTCCGATTTTTGCCAATGAGAAAACTGAGTTACAAAGGATGAAGGGACTTAGCCATGGTCACACAGCTGATAGGTGACAGGGTCAAGATGAACAAAAAGTACAATGGTCCCAAGAGCAGAGCAGGGTCAAGCAAAGGCTGGGATGGGAGGGCAGGCATGGAGACCCCTAGACTGCTGGGTGGGTAGGTAGGTGGAAGGGCTGGGCTTTCCACACCTCAATAGCGAGTAATCTCTAGTACCAATCTGACCTGAAGCTCTGGGCTATGCGGACCTGTACTCCCACAGAACAGATGGAACGAATTTACCTAAACCACGGGGTTGGCCAAATTGAGGGTTGCAACCCATTAGTGGGTGGTGAAATCAATTTAGTAGGTTGCAACCACTATTTTTCAAAAAACCTGAAACATTAAAAAAAAAAAGAAGGGCTGCGAATGGTGGCACATGTCTATACCCAGGTATAGGAGGATAGAGGTCTAAGGCTGGCCCAGGCAAAAATGCAAGACCCTACGCAAAAAATTAAGGCAATAAAAAGGGAGTGGTGGAGCAGGACTCAAGTGGTAAAGCATCTGCGTAGCAAATCAAATATGAGGGAGTTCAAAGCAGTAACAGCACATGTATGTGGGGGGCAGACTGTGTGTGTGGGGGCGGGCAGAGTGTGTGTGTGTGTAGAATGGGACACAATGTCAAAGGTATTTTCTACTGTGGGTCACAGTCAAAGAGGGTCATGAGCCTGCCTTAGAAGCACATCTGGCCCACCAGGCCACTGGGAGCTGGACTCATGCTAGGGACAGGAGCCACGCCCCAGTGCTTTCTTCTCCACTCTGACTGCACTCAGCCTTGGAAGTCATTTTTGGGAAAAATCCCAAACATTCATGGGGGACAGGTGTGGTTAAATTGTGATGAGAGAACAAGCTATATATACTGGTAGGGCTCTGCTCACAGGGAGACAGCCCCAAGCTGGGGAGGAGTGGAGGGCTGGGCTTGGGGACAGAGAGGTGTGCAGAGCAAGAGGCAGAGGGCTGTATGGGAACCTGAGGGCACGGCTGGGGACAGGCCTGGTAGCTTCTTGGCTAAGCCAGGGGCTGCTCACTTCCGGAAAGCTCCGAGGAGCAGATGTTCCCCTACCTGCCATGCTACTAATTTCAACAAGTGTGTGTCTTTCTAGCGGCTGCCAGCAACGGCATGGTTTGTTACCATGAGCAATTTTCTTAATTAACAGACATTAATTAGCCATTTAGCAATTTTGCAAGCATTTGTTTAGCGGCTTTCCTAAACATGAATACCACTGTGATAATGGCACTGATTAGAGGGTCCCCTAATTAACAGTACAGGGAAGGAAAATTGAAATCACATAAATTAAAAAGGGAGGGGAAGTTAATGAAGGCGGGACATATTTGCACCTGCAAGTCTTTTGTACCATGAAACTTGGGTATAACATAAACAAAACAAGATAATTTGAAGCCAACCCCCCAAAAAAAGAAACATAAAAAGAATGGAGGAGGAGGGTTCAAGGGCAAGGTCCAGTTACCAAGAAGGGGCAAAAGGCTTTCTGTTGGTCTCCCAGTTCTTGGCAACAAGGGAACGCCTCCTCCCTCGTAGTCCTTGTCTCCCTCTGGTCACGCTAATGCTTTGGTGGAGGAGCAGCATGGCTCTGGGTAAGCCCCTCACACCTGTGCATCCCTCTAGGCAAGGGAGGCACCAGGAGCTGCCTCGCTCACCAGACACAGGAAACCTAAGTGAAGCAGTACCCAGGAGCAGCTGAGCTCACCAAAAGGTCTCAAGCAATGGGCCCCACACTATCCCAAGAAACCCCTTGGATTCAGAGGCAGGGCTGGTGCCGCTTCACCTCCACACCTCCCTCAGAAGCTCCCCTGCAGAGGTGGGGACCAGCTCTGGAACAAGCGGAGGTGGCAAGTTTGCTCACAGCACTTCAAGACAAACCTTTGGGGTAAGGCCCTGCCAACCTGCCTCATAGGGACAGGGAGGAAGCAGGCCGCTGAACCTGGGGAGTGAGCTGGATTCAGAACACTGAGGCCTGGAATCCTGGTTAGAGAAAGTGGACTTCACAGTCTCTGTAATTCCTCCTCCACATGAGTAAAATGCTACACAGGTTTCTCCCTCTCTCACACACACACACGACCTTGTTAGAGGCTTCTGACCTTAGCACAAAGTCTGAACAGATGAGACAGGTAGAGGCCATGGTGGGCCTCTCTATTATACCACCGGTCAGTTTCCTGTACAGGGCAACACTTCCATGGGCCTTCTTGGGAGTCTTGCTTGGCCATGACAAGTCTCTGAGCCCAGCTCCCTCACAGCCCCTGGAGGCTTTCTGTCACAGGCGACGTGCAATATTGAGCAGGTCTCACTATTTGCTTAGGGAAAATCACATCTGCCCAGCAGTCATCTGTTTGTGGGTGGCTCTGACAGACTTGTCATCTCTTCCCTGATTTCCTCCATTTACAGAGAAAGAGAGACCCAGAACAGAGGTGAGATTTGTGCAAGGCCACAGAGAATCAGCTGAGCCATGCTTCCTAACTCCAGCCAAGGCTTTCTCCATGACACCATGTCCCCATGAATGTCTACTTTAGATAAAGAAACAGCATTAAAATCCTGGCACTACAACTTGACTCCACTTCTGTCCTCTCATTGGCGAATGGGGACAATTACGGTAACAACAACGGAGAGCACGGCCTTTGCCTGCACCAGCTCACTTAATCCCAGGCTCCATGCAGTAAGGACCACCAATCACTCCATTTAATAGCTAAGGCACTGGACTCAGAAAGGCTTGTTAAGCTTGCACAATTAGTAACTGTAGAGTCAGGCTTCAAAGTCTGACTCTGGAGGCTGGGAGGGGTCTAGGGTAGCCTACCATTCTGAAAACCTGAGAGCAGCACCTCCATGCCCTTATCTGAACATGGAGGTCCCCTGCACCTGGCCATTCCCTTGCTGGGTCACAAAAGTGCAGACTGGGTCCTAGAGAGCTCCTGGGCTAGTGTGGAGGAGGAGGAGGAACCAGTGACAAACAAGCTTGAGTGCTGGCACAACCAGAAGGTGATGCAGAGCTCCTTCTCATTTCCCAGGTAGGTAAACTAAGGCCTGAGTTGGGCTGGGAACTAGAGTCCTCCAAATGGTCAGAACTCTTTATACGGTACCATACTGTCTCTACAGGGTGACAGTAGGGGGACCTGAGCTCTGGGGTGTGGGGGAGACACACCCCAATGCACAGTAATTCCTGTTTCTGAATCTTGTAGAAGGAGGCAGGTAGTGTACCCACTTCCTACAGTCTTCACATCACCTCAGAGCCTGTTAAGAGCCCTGTCATTCTGTGTCAGCGGGCCCCAGACCTCTGACTGCAGGCACTTCTTTTTCATTCCTTCTCCTGTCTTTTCAGCATTGAGTAGTGTTATATCCAGCAATTTCTGAAAGCCACTGAGGCAGGGCTCAGGGGGCTCTGCCATGTGTGTAATTGAGGCAAAGCAGGTGCTTAGCAGTCTCACAAAATCCTTGAACACTAATGGATTAGTGAAGAGGCCTTTACAGGTGTTGCCATGGGGATCAACATTCCCACAGCAAGGCAGATCAGAGGTCTCTGCGGAAAAGCACTTTACAAGTGTCAGCAGGACCCTACTTCCTGCTCATGTTTGGGCCATGACCCTAAGGCATCCTAAGCTGTCCTTGAGATATGGGCTTTGGTATTATGGGAAAATGTTCACAGTACATGTGTGAGTCCAGCTCCCTAACAGCCTTAAGTCTCAGGCCTCCTAGAGGAAATGGGGCTACTGTACAGATATGCAGGGGTGTGGTCCAGCTGACAGAGTGTCTCCTCTCCTGTGCTTCCCCAGCCTCCAGATTCTGGAGACAGTTACTTGCCATCTACAGAGAAGGCAGGAGCTTGATTTGCTGGCTCTGGCCTGGCTCAGTCTGCCTCTGCTAAGAATGCACACAGCCTGCGGGGAGACACATACCATCCTGCAAGTCCCTTCTGCCTGCTCACAAGCACTCCCAAGGCTTGTCTTAAGCAGTCACCGCTGCTGGTCAACCCATGGGTAAATCCAGGGCAGGGTCTAGACCCACAAAGTGATGAGGCTTAGCCAGCAACGAGACCACATGGCTACATCAAGGGGCTGGCCCCAAGAAGCCCAGGACAGCACCTCCTCTAACACTTGTAGACACAAGGAGATAGGGAAAACAAGTTAGCACCAACAGGCTGACCAAGTTGGTGCTCTAAGCTAAAGACTCTTTGGGCCAGGTGCCGGT